GATGAGCTCGTGTCCCATCCCTCAGAGACAGGAGAAAGGCTGTGCTGCTCCCATGCTCATGGCTCAGGCACTGTATCCAGCAGTCTGCAGGGCGTGGGCAAGAGGAGCCACAGGTGACAGGGGCGTTTCTGGTTTGGTGTGTATTTTGTTGAGACTGCCTCGTTATGCAACCTAGCTGGGGTCAAACTCGCAGTCCTCCTGCCTTGTATTTTAGGTGTGCACCACCACATCCAGGCGACAGGGACACTTAAAGCTCCCCAGAGAATTCCCATGTCAGGTTCTTTGGACTTCAGTGCACGCGCAGGTCATAGGGCTTTTTGGCAGAGCAGGACATCTGCCAGGGGGCGCTCTCCTGGTCGCCTTTCCAAGGCGCCAGCAGATGGGACACTGCGACCCAGGACCTGAGCCTGGCACGTTGGCCTCGGGTGAATGCCCTCCATTGCAGCTGGTTTGTCTCTGGAAGCCCGGCTGGAAAGAGCAGCCCGCCCCCGCCATGGGAGGGGGAAGCAGAGGAGGAGAGAGAGAGGGGAAAATGGGGAGGTGGTGGGGCCCCAGGCACGTGTTTGGCAGGCTCTGGGGGAACCTGTCAGAGCCTGGCACAACTTCATGCAGCAGGGACTCTGTCCTCCCAGCTATTCAGGAAGCCGAGGCAGGAGGATTGCAAGATTCAGCCTAGCAATTTAGTGAGACCCTGGCTCACATAAAAAAAAAATGCAAGGGTTGGGAGGGTGGCTCGGTGGAGGATTCGCTGATCCCAGGACTGGAGAGGAAAAATAGATTAAAAGTTTTATTTTGTTTGTAAACATAGAGTACAGTTTTCTTTGTGCTGTAAAGACACCTAGGACCAACATTAAAAATCCTGGGAGAAGGGGCTGGGGATTTAGCTCAGCAGCATAAGCGCCTGCCTTGCAAGCAGGCAGTTGTGAGTTCGATCCCCGGTACCGATAAAAAGGAAAAAGACAAAAAAAAATCCTGGGAGAAAATTCCCATCACACAGGGGAGGCGGGGAAGCCTGAGAGGGTCAGTGCCTGGGCCACGAGAACCCACAGCAACTCAGATTGGACCAAGGATGGAAAAGACACTGGGGGAAGCCAGGTGTGGTGGTGGTGGCACTATCTCGGCACTCAGGAGGCTGAGGCAGGAGGACTGCAGCAAACTGGAGGCCAGCCTGGGCTACATAGCGAGACCCTGTCTGAAAAAAGAAGATACCGGGGGTGTGTGAGGAGGAAGGAAAATGAGACCTGCCAGGGGAGGGGTGGGCCCCTGGGGCCTGGGCTCCAGAAGGGCCTGAGAGTGGCCACAGGAGAGGTCGTGGGAGGCCACTGGACTGGGCTTCTGCGGAGCTTCGCATACCATGTGGGGTGTTGGACCTGGGGACCCCATGGGAGAACCTGAGGCATCCTGGGTGGTGGCCCTAGTGGCACAGGAGTATCCTGAGCCCTAAGGCTGCGATGGGTCAGCTGTACCCTTGATGTCCCCGGATCCTTGACCTGGGCCCCTCCAGGCGGGTTTCTGGGGTGCACCGACACCCTACTTCGTGGACCATCTTCTCCAAATCCTAATGTGAGGTCAGCATCAGCCTCACCCTGGGGGCAGCAGCAACCCTGTCCTTTGTCCGGTAAGCGCTTGCTAGCAGTGGCTCAGGGCCCCTCTCTGCACCGCCTTGTGCACAGTGGCCCTCGCTTCCCATCCAGAGCACCCCCAGCCACAGCTCTGTGCCCTCGGAAGGTCTGAAACCAGGAAGGGTTAGTGACGCCATGGTCTCGGAGGAAGAGCCATTCTTTTTTTTTTTTTTGTCTTTTTTATTTTTAACGGTACCGGGGCTCGCCTGCTTGCAAGGCAGGTGCTTATGCTGCTGAGCTAAATCCCCAGCCCCTGAAGAGCCATTCTTTACATCGAGGCTGAAGAGGAAAACCACAGGGGGCCAGGCGTGGTGGCCTTTCTGTCATCTGAGCACTGGAAAGGCTGAGGCAGGAGGACTTCTGTGAGTTTGAGGCCAGCCTAGGTGTGTTAGCAATTTAATGAGACCCTGGCTCAAAATAAACCAGGAAGAGGGCTGGAGACGCAGCTCAGTGGGGAGGGCCTGGGCCCAATCTCCAGTGCCAACCACTGAAGCCGACAAAGCGTGGCAGCAGTTTCCCACCACACACAGAAACCAACCTGTAGGTGCTGGAGAGGGACAGGGTGCCCTGGTTTGCGGGTGACAGGTACGGTCTCCTTCACACGTTCTAACGCAGTGGCCTCAGCCATGTGCGGGGACTGAGCACAGCGCCAGCAGCTGTTGTGTGGGATGCACAGACAGAACCTCCCTGGGGCGGGTGGCAGCCTCAGAGTGGTGGCCAGGGGTGCTTGACTCCTGGACCAAAACCAAAAAGTCATGTACTGTTGGGCTGTCCAGTCAGCAGAGACGTGTGTGGGCATGGTGGCCCATGCCATAATCCCTCAGGAGGCTGAGGCAGGAGGGTCACTGAAAGTTTGAGGCCAGCCTGGGCTACACAGTGAAATCCTGCCTCCAAACAAAAAACAAAAAGCAAGCCTCTCTCCATGTCCCCACCAGTATTTTGTATTCTGTATTTCTGTCCGAGACTTGGCTCACTGATCTATGAGCCATTCAGTCTACAGATTTTTCTTCTTCAACTTTTTGTCTTCTTTTTTTTTGAGACAGGGTCTCTCTATGCAGTTCAGGCTGACCTTGAGCTCACTTTGTAGCCCAGGATGGTCTCAAACTTGCAAATGATCCTCCTGCCTCAGCCTCACAAAAGCTAGAATTACAGGCGTTCGGCACCACGCCTGGCTCTCTTCAACTTCTTTAGAAGCACAGACATTGAGAAGGAGCAGAACGTGGAGATTAGTGAAAACACTGGAAGGTACCCAGTGCCCTAGTAAGTTTTGTTTTGAGAAAAGGTCTCGCCACTTCCCGAAGGCTGGCCAGTGCAGGGCTGACTCTGAACGCATTATGTAGCCTGGCTGGAAGCTAAATTTGTCATCCTCCTGCCTCAGCCTCCAAGCGCTATTACAGGGACGTGTGGCATGATACCAGGCTCAATAAAAGACCTCCATCACTGTGCAGTGTCAAATCGATGAGAGGTTAAAGTTGTGTGAGGTGGGGGCAGCGTCCCAGTGGCCTGAGCTGGCCTACCCAGGCCATCCCAGCAGTGCTCGGTCACTCCCTCCAGGCTGTCTCTGCTGCCATCCTCCGGAGACAGTGCAAATTGCAACAGTAAATCCCGTTCCTTCTCCACAATTAATGCCACCCCAGTGCGAGCGACACGGCTTCCACAGCCTGGAGAGGAGCCCAGCAAAACAGCAGCAATGGCCCAGGTAGCTTGGGCCCATCTGCACTGTCACCACCCCCATGCTCTCCCTCCCAGGAGCCTGGCCTCAAAGTGGTGGCGATCCTCCTGCCCTGCCTCCAAAGTGCTGGGATTCCAGGGGTCATGTTACTATGCCCACTCTCAATAAAATGAAGACATTCTTTGAGAATGTCTTTGGGACATTCCCAAAGAACTTTGGGAACTATAAAGCTCCAAGAATCAATTTAAATCTGTATCACACCAAGTACACACGAAGTGGAGATTTTTTTTTTTTTTTCTAATGTCAATGGTCTTTTGCTTCTGAAACTCATTTTTCTGGAAACTCAGAATCGGCTCTCTGCTTACCCAAAAGGCTTTGCTGCTTCTCATGAATCACGGTAGAAGTCCTAGGGAGCGACAGCACGTGTGCCTTTCTTCTGAACCCGCTGCATTTCCACTAAAAATTCTTAACCAAAAAGTGTTAGGGAGGAGTCAGACATGGTGGCACACGCCTGTCACCCCAGTACTTGGGGAACAAGGCAGGAAGATTGTTCAGAGTTTGAGACCACCCTGGGCAACAATGTGGGCTCAAAGCCAGCCTGCACTGCATAGCAAGATCTAGTGTGAAGGAAATGGCAAAATCACAGCTCTTTTTGCCTGCCTGGGTTTGCCTGACCCTCCCCGAGTGGACGTGGTGGTCATTAACAAGGCTGGGAGGCCCGGGCTGAACACTGCTTCCGAAAGTTATTTGCTGTAAAATATTTCTGAACTTGCTGTCTCATCTAGAATGGGTATATTGGGGCTGGGGATTTAGCTCAGCGGCATAAGTGCCTGCCTTAAAAGCAGGCAGTTGTGAGTTCGATACCCACTACCGATTAAAAAAAGGAAAAAGATTTAAAAAAAAATAGAATGGGTGTATTACCTATGATTGCGAGTTATTTGGAGAATTTATTTTAAAAATTTGACACAGGGCCAGGCATGAAATCCCAGGAGGCTGGGACAGTAAGATCACAAGCCTGAGCCCCACGTGGGCAATGCAGGGTGTCTCAGTGACTTTCTCCTGAGACACAATGCCCGCGGGACACCTGCAATTTAAAGGTGGTTTATTCTGGCTCAGTTGGTAGAAGCTTCTGTCCACAGCTGGTGGCTCCATGGCAGAAGCCGCCTGGAACAAGGGCTGGCGTGTTCACCCCAGGGTGCACAGGGAAAAGGGCTCCAGGGTGGGGTGGGAGAGACCACCCCCCCCCACACACACTCCCGTGCAGCTCTTGCCTGGAAAGGCCCCGCCCCGAAGACGCCCCGCCCACCATCTAATCACCTTGCCCCACCAATGAGCACAGGAGGCTGGAGGCAGCAGGGGCGAAGCTGCTGGTCTCAGCCCCAGTGGTGGGTGCCCCTGGCTGTTTGTTCTCTGAAAGCGCTAAAAGGTTCGCCATCACCCATCAGCTGGTTAGGCCAAGGGTCAGGTGGCAGTGCCCTCAAGCCCTGGCTCCTGATTTTTCTCTACTTCCTGCCTGCCCTGGGATGGACAGCATCTGCAGCACTTGGGAAGGAGCCGCAGGGCTATTTCGTTTGAATCCAATTCGTTAAGAATTCAGGAATTAAAGAGTTTTTAAACTCAGCACATCCTGTGGCAGTAAGACCTCCAGCCGGGTGGACAGGAATACTTTGGATTTCTTACCCAACAGAATACATGAAAGCGTGACGCAGTTTCACACTGACATTTTTATTAATGCCAACTGTTTAATTATTATTTTTAAAACAATAGCACAAAAAATGTCTCAAGGAAGCAGTCTCACAATCCAATGACCTCCCGAAATAGTTAAGCCACACCAAATATGAATTTGTTAATAACACAAAAAGATGGTTTTTATTTTTAAGAAAAACATGGAAAAGGGAGAAGGAAGGAGCTGGGTCACCCGGGCCGAGGCAGTACCCACATGGCTGGGGCCTGGTGCAGGCATGGCCTGGGGCGCAGGGGCATTGAGGTGGCCCAGCGGGCAGGCGGCTGACTGACCCAAGTTCCGTGTCTACTGTGTCTCCTACTCGCCTGTCAGGGTTCCTAACGTCACCGCTACAGAGCGCAGTCCCAAGCTCAGGCTGGGTGCTTCTCAGCACCCCGCTGTGTCAGGGGGATGTAGGTGGGCGGTGGGGAGGACCCTGGGGAGGACTCGGAGCATAGCCCAGTGCAGGGCGGGGCTAGGGTCTTTAACACAGTTTTCTTTTTTGACCAAGTAGTCACAGAGAAGGGAGGCAGGGAGGAAACTCCCTCCTCAGTTCAGATGGAGCTGTGTGGGACAGGAGTCTCTCAGGTCAGCCTCTAGGCCAGGAAGGACCAGGAAGGACCAAGCCGCAGGACCGAGACCCAGGATGCAGGTCGGTGGATGCGGAGATGCGGGGCTGGGGACCAGGATTCGGGGCTGGGGATGCGGGCATGCACCCGCGCTGCTGCCCACCTGGCCCCCGCTGCCGGGGCAGGAGGGTGTTAAATACTTTACCACTGACAAGGCTTCAGGAAGAAGTTTCACAGTTTCATTATGCTCTATTTTATTACTATCATATTTACATGTAATTGATATTTTATTTCATTTTTTGCTCCATTGCTGATTGGCCTTTTTCAATAAAACTGAACTGGGGAGTGTGAGCAGGACCCAGGTGACTACATTCATCATCCGGCCCGAGGCGCCCTAGGGAGGCGGGTGGGCGGCAGCTCTGCGGTGGCCTGGGCTCTGGGTCACACTGTGGGCACAGGCGCGGCCCTCCGCTGCAGCAGGTACCGGTGCAGGCTCTCGGCGTCCCGCTTCAGCCATGCAGCATTGAGCAGGATATTTTCACAACACTGCTGGATGGTGCGCTCTGCCGACGGGGCTGGGTGACTCTCGAAGAAAGCCTGGTGGGGGCAAGGCAGAGCTTGGTCACTGTGAAAGATGCGGCGGCCTGGGGCAGGGCTGCACCTGTGCTGCCTCCGCAGCCGGGACGGGACAGATGCCGAAGGAGCCTGTTCCACAGCAGGAGCGCGCTGCAGGCCCATAGCACCTGGCTGCCCAACAGACTGGGCCCAGGGGCTGCTTCCACCCCGCTCCTCCAGGGGCCTCGGGACTCTGCGCACTGTGGCTGCCTCAAAGATTGGTTGGCAGGGGACAATTATACTAAGATGTTTGCCTTGCTGCAGTAATCCTGACAACTTGACACCTGGTCTCTCATGGGTCTCAGAATGAAACCATTTCTGCTGTCACAATGCCAAACTGAGAGTTGCATAAGCCACACGGCTTAGAGGATCTAACACGGGACACCTGATTGCACGAAAAGCAAAACACCCTTGGTCACCAGCCAGCCAAACGCTGGGGCCTGCCATGAGTGTGTCACCATCACCCTCGCTGTCACTGTCACTGCTGGTGGCTTGGAGGAGAACACGACTCATTCCCCCGTGGGCCCTGTGAGCCCCGAGGCCTCACTCAGGTCCCTCTCAGCCCGTGTGACACCTGCACACCCAGCCGGGAGCCAGCTTTGACTTGTTTCTCTCAGTGAACACTGTCAAAATACAGATTCGTGCGGTGGATTCCAGAGTCTCTGCTCCTCCATCAGCTGCAGTCCTGCTTGGGAGGGTCCACACCCAACGCCCCACTAAAAACTCCCTGCACTGCCACCAGGCAGACGTTTTTCCCAACCCAGACCCAGGAGATGCCACTCCCTGTGGACAGGCCACCAGAGGGCTTTCCCAGGTACGGGGCCTTAGTGCGGCCTGTGGGCCCCAGCCTCCCTACCAGCTGCCCAGGAGCCCACCGTGTCCCTCTCCGTCACAGAATCTCACTCCTCACAGTGCAACACGATGCAAACTAAATGGCGGCAGAAAACAGCTCGTTTCCTTGAGATCTAAACCTGTAAAACACACACACTCAACTAACTATAGCTTCTAGAGTGAACAAAACTGTATGAGCCAGAGACCTTCCAAACTCCTACCTCAGAACTGCTCTGCCTCCAAGAAATCGAAGTCAAAGTGATATAATAATAAAACTACTCTGTGGGCTTTTAAATGCGATGAGAAGCTTAGTTAACATTTTCCAAATCAGGGTAAATACATTCTGCAGGTGCTGGAAGTGACCGGTCCAAGGTCCACACTGAACTGAGCATTGCTAAGTGCTCCGTGGCAAAAGCCCTGCAATCATGGAATTTCATGGGAGAGGGAGAAGAGCCAATGCCGAGAACCTGCCATGCTGCTCAGTCTATACCACCACCGCATCAGCATGCAGTTCACAGAAGAGAAACGGGCCCGAACACACGCAGCTCAGCCGACTCAGCTTCTGCCTTTTCAACCACAGTGCAGCATGCTTGGAGACGAGCGTAGCTCTAACTTCCCTGGACACTACCAATTACAATCTAGGCTGCCACCTTTCTGAGGAAAAGCAAGGAGACCGACACTACACTATGGTGCATTCTCTCAGGACTCCACTGGAAACTGGGCTGGCGTTCGTGGATGCTTGATTGAAAAGTGCAAAGACCACAGTCCTTTCCTTACCTTAACCTCTCCAGCCATTTTATCCACTGCAAATCCTTCAACTGAGAGCTGAAAAAAACCAAGGTTTCAAACAGTAAGTGAAATGAAAAGAAGCAGACAACAAACTTCCTTTACCCTAGAACAAATCATTCCATTCTCTCCCAAAACTGCTTGTTACAGAGTGTGTGGAGCAGAGGAAGCAACACATAGATGCGGCCACCAGCAATCTTCACAGGCACTGGAGACCAGCCCGCGGGATACACAAGCACTCTGCTAGACTCACCCCACCCCATTTTTGAGACAGGGTCTTGCTACGTTGCCCACCCTAGCCTCAAACTTGCAATCCACCTGCTCAGCTTCCTGCGAAGCTAGAATTACAGGCCTGCACTGCCGTGCCTGGCCTCATGAGCACTGCCTGAAAGAGACAACCACAACCTGTGGACCCTATGAATCGTGGACATGAGCTAAGAGTGTCCACAGTGAGCAAACTACTCAAAATGCAAATGCTCGGGGCTGGGGATTTAGCTCAGTGGCATAAGCGCCTGCCTTGTAAGCAGGCAGTCGTGAGTTCGATCCCCGGTACCAATAAAAAGGAAAAGGACAAAAAAAAAAAAAAAAAAAAAAAAAAAAAGCAAATGTTCACGTACCTTTATTAGTCTGGATATTAAGAATCCTCCTTGATATCGATTATAAAGTTCTTCCCAGTTGTCCTTTATGAACTTCCAAGCAGCTTTCCTCCCATGCTTGCTGCCTCCAGCGACCCCACCGATGACCGATACAGTGTCCTGGGGACGTACCTCTTCCTAGAAAAACAAAGAGCACTGCAAGTCCAGTGTGTTGGGAGCATCTTCTGGTGGCAGAAAGTGCAGCTCGCTGTTGGCCTGCTGGTCATCACACAGGGATGCCAGCTCCACACTGCAGGAATAGCGGGCTCTACAAGCTTCCAGCAAGGTAGAGAGCAGTCACACAGAGACTCTTGGGACAGGTGCACATGCATGAGAGCCTGAGGAGAGAGGAAGAACTCCACAGGAAGCAGCTGAGGGGAGCGTCAGCCTCTGGTCCACCAGGTTGCCAGTCCTTACTGGTCTGTTCTGTAAGGGCTCTGTACCCTCCCCCAGGACAGCCTGTGGGACAGAACAGCAACAAGGCACACCACTCCCCCTGGGCGCAAAGGCTTAGCAGACCAAGAGGACACCAAGTCAAAGATATCCGCCACGGACTGCAGTATCCCTATAACTTACTGAAAGTGCAAATGTGAGGACTTTTTGGATCAGTTCAGGCAAAAGAGTAGCCCCGAGGACTCGTTCAATTCGGTTTTTCTCTTCTTGCATATCTGCTTGTTTGTGAAGCTACAGGAGAAAAAGAGAGATAGTTAAAGTTCTCCTCTGTTAGTCCTGTATGTGCTTAAACTTCTCCTTCAACAAAGGGAAGCTTCTCCTCTGCATGTTCTTCGGGGCACACAAGCAGAACATCACATTAAAGGTAACAGCATTCTTGGAGGAGAACAAGAAGTCAACAAGAAGCTAAAACATCCTGTGAGTCGGCACCATGCGTGGGCTGACGGGGGGAGAGGCAGACGCCAGCCCCTTCCGGTACACGGGCAGGGAGACAAGAAGAGTCAGCGTCCCCTGTCTCCCATAAGCAATCCCAAGAAACACAGGCTGAGACGGCAGCTAAGTTAGTGCTTAGGGTTTCACTGACTTTGCAGGCCTAACGCCAGCAGTCTGATCATCTATTCAGAGGGTAGCAATACACAGTGTAGCATCTGGGGGGATCTCCTTCTGAAGGTGGTGGCCACTGTTACTTCCCTATTATCTTCTTTCAAAACCCTGTATCATCCTCATTGTTTTGTTTGGTTGGGTTTTATTCTGTTTTATCTTGTTTAATTTATTATATCGGATGGGCAGCTATTTCAAAGATAACAAGATACATTATGGTAGCCATTTGGGATTTATTACTATTTTGGTTTTTTCTTTTCTATTATTTTGTTTTGAAGTTCTAGATTGCATTTGTTGTTTTGTTTGTATTGGTTCTATTCTGTTTGGTTTTGATTTTACAATGTCTGAAGGTACAGACAGCTATTTTGAAGACAACCAGAGGCATTATGATAACCACTGTTGATTTCCTATTTTTGTTTTGAAATCCTGTGTCACTTACATTGTCTTGTTTTAAATGGCTTTATTCTGTTTTATTTTGCTTGGTTTTATTCCCTTTAAAATAAAATATAAAAAAAAAATAAAGATAATAGCAGCCAGGTATGGTGGTGCAGCCCCTGGGAGGCTGAGGCAGGGGAATCACAAGCTTGAACTTAGGTGGGGCAACTTAGCAACAAAATAAAATAGGCTGCAGGTATAGCTCAGTGCAAAAGGCCTGGTGCCAACTCCCAATGCCCCCAACACAAAGCCCCTGTGACAACAGCTGCCAGGCCCTAACTGGCGTCCCAGCGGTCCTGGATGTGGGCGCTCCCGGGGTAAACCTGCCCTTGGTTCTTGGCTACTTAGCTTCGACAGGTAACAAGTGAATCTGTCCTGGCCAGACTCTTTACAGCCTGGTATTTGGCTAATGTTTTGTGCTGTTAGAGATGAATAAAATTGAAAATAATCTAAATACTCAACAGCTGACACTGTAATTACTCTATTTTTTTTTAAACAGGGTTTCCCTATGTAGCTTAGCCTGGCCTTGAACTCACCACAATCCATCTGTCTCAGCCTCCCGAGAGCTGGGTTTACAGGCATGCACTGCCATGGCCAGCAAAATTATTCATTTTTTGAAAAGGTGCATTATTCTAAGTTGTATTTTAAGAATATTTCATGATACTGTTGGGCCTGGTGATACACACCTATAATCCTAGTCCCTGGAAGGTTGAAGCAGGAGGACTGTGAGTTTGAGGCCAGCCTGACTCCATAGTAAGTTGAAGAACAGACTCTGTCTCAAAAATAGTAACAATAACAACAGACTGAAGAATGTTTCACTGTGGGGATTTAGCTCAGTGGCACAGCACCTGCCTGGCAAGTTTGAGGTCATAAGTTCGATCCCCAGCACGAAGGGGGGAGAGAGAGGGAGGGGGAGAGAGAGAGAGAGAGAGAGAGAGAGAGAGAGAGAGAGACAGAGACAGACAGAGAGAGACAGAGGCAGAGAGAGAGAGACAGAGAGAGAGAGACAGAGACAGAGAGAGACAGAGAGACAGACAGAGAGACAGAGAGAGACAGACAGAGACAGACAGAGAGACAGAGAGAGAGAGAGACAGACAGAGAGAGAGACAGACAGACAGACAGAGAAACAGAGCAAGCCAAACCCCCACAAACAAGCCCCCTGTGCACGCGCCCCACTCATACTGTTCATCACACAGAGGGTGAGAGGACCTGAATGTTTAGTTGAACTCCAAAACAGAATTCTTAAATTATTAGAAGGGAAGCCCATGCATAATGTGGATAAATGATATACTTTGAGGATAGTTTTTCTTTCTTTTTTTTAACATAGGTAAACTGTATTTTTAAATCTGGAAATTTTAAAAACACTAACAAAATTAATGGAGGAACAGTTTTTTAAAAGATTATGTTTTTCAGTACATCTCAGTTGTTTTTCTTTTTTGAGACAGGGCCTCTTTACACAGTATGAACTGGCTTTGAATTCCCAGTTTTGCTATGCAGTTGTTCAGGTTGGTCTTGAACTCACTTTGTAGCCCAGGCTGGCCTCAAACTCACAACAACCTTCCCACCTCAGCCTCCTGAGTGCTGGGATTACAGACGTGTGCCACCATGCCTGGCCTAAAGTCTTAATAAAAGAACTCTGCCTTTGCCCAAAAACAAATTGGTGTCATAAGTCTGACACAAGATTTGGGTACTGGGCTCCTTTAGGGATGGCAGCCGAGTAGACTGAGTCTCTCCACCTCTAACGCAGTCCGTATGGACAAGGAACTTCCTAGAGACTGGCAGGGAATGGGCGAGCACTTACAGAGCTTCTTATTCCACAGTATTACCATTAATTCAAACATTCATGAGGCAGGAGGATTGCAAATTTGAGCCCAGCCAGGTTCTTGTGACCTAAGAAGACTTTTTCTCAAAATAAAAAATACAAAAGAGGTGGAGCTGTGGCGTGGTATGAATGCCCCACGTTCAGTCCCTGGTACTGCTCGCGTAGAACAGAGCCTTTAGGCAGGCTGCTGTCCTTATACAGACGTACCAAGTTTCCCTACATTTTGCCTAAGCTCAAGTTAGCTATACGCCAGTTACCCTGAGGAGACAGGAGGCTGTGAGGGCAGGGGAGATAATTCCTACCACAGTGCAAAACCTCAAGAGACGAAAGATCATGCTCCCATGTCCTATCCCTCTTGTGTTTTTTATTTTGTTTTGAGACAGGGTCTCACTATATAGTTAGGGCCAGCTTTGAACTCACTATGTACCCTGGGCTGGCCTCAAGCTTGTGGTGATCCTCCTGCCTCAGCCTCCCTAGTGCCATGCCTGGACTCTTTTTTTTTTTGAAAAGAATCTTGGGGGCTGGGGATTTAGCTCAGCAGCATAAGCACCTGCCTTGCAAGCAGGCAGTCATGAGTTCGATCCCTGGTACCGATAAAAAAAAAAAAAAAAGAAAAGAATCTTGCTAAGTTGTCCAGGCTGGCCTTGAATTTACAAATCCTCTTGCTTCAGCCTCGTGCATTAACTGGGATTACAGGCATGTACCACCACAGGCTTTTTGGGGGGTGCTGGGGACGAAACCCAGGACCTTGCACAAGCCAGGAAAGAGCTCTCCCACAGGTCCTTAGCATTTACATGGCTGCAACACACATGCGCTGCACTTGCCAGAATTTTTTTTTTTTTTTTGTCTTTTTCCTTTTTATTGGTACTGGGGATTGAACCCATGACTGCCTGCTTGCAAGGCAGGTGCTTATGCCGCTGAGCTAAATCCCCAGCCCCAGCTAGGATATTTTTAACAGCACTTAAAGCTGTGCTTGTGTCTGTCCAGAATGAAAGGAAGGAAAAGGACCCATTCTCAGCCCCTCACCTTTAGCATAATGTCTAAGGTAGCTCCATCGCCGTGCTTCAGAACAGTCAGGTAAACCTACAAGTGAACACAGGAACCAAAGAGGCCGTTATCTGTTTCTAATATTCCAGAGCCAACAGAAGCCAGTGAGAGCCATGTGAGCATGCATGGTGAGAGGCCGGAGTCCATGAGCAACTGGAGGTGAGGAGTCGAGGCGAGGTGACAGCAGGGGTCGCGGCTGTGACAGGGTGAGGGGGTGAGGTGTAACGTGCTGGCCCCAAGCCATGGGTGCTACATGCAGCACGGTGTGCAGAGTCCCGACTGCTGCTAAGGAAGCTCCATCCACAGGGTGTTGTGGGCATCCAGAAGCCAGGACTGGGTCGCCCAGACTCACCGGGCTCCGCAGGTCAGCGGAGAGCACCTGCTTTCCTTCCACATGGTCCTTAAACCGCCGCCGGGCTTCTTCCAGCGTTGCCTTGTGCCCTGCTTTTCCCAGCTTCCCGAGAACCAAGCCCCTCAGGAGGGCGTCTAGATGTCCTGTCCAAGAAGTAGAAGACACAGGACTGCTTAAAATGTATCACTTGAAATTTTTTCGTTTTTTGTGACAGAGACTCGCTATGCAGTTCAGGCTGGCCTTGAACTCACTTTGTAGTCCAGGCTGGCCTCAAACTGTCAGCAATCTTTCTGCCTCAGCCTCCTGAGTGCTGGGGTAACAGGGGTGTACCACCACACCTGTCCTGAATATTTTATACAACTGTGCAAACCAAACCTACAACTCTGAACAAACACAATGTCCTAATGCTTGAGAGAAGCTTGATGTATCAAGTCCTAAGAGGCAATGGTGCACTCGACACACTAGATCAGCAAACAGATTTGCTGACTGCATCATAATCACACATGTGATTATGGTCACTCACCAAGTTTGGTGATACATGCCCGTAATTCTAACACTTGGGAGGCTGAGGCAGGAAGATGGCAATGAGTTAAAGGCCAGGTAGGCTACACGGTAAATTCAGTGCCAGGCTGAACTATAGCTCTCTGTCTCAAAACTCCCAACTGGTGGCACAGACCTGAAATCCCAGCCCTTGGGAAGCTGAGGCAGGAGGACTGCTGAGAATCTGAAACCAACCTATATTACACAGAGAAACTAAAAGGAGAGAGGAAAAAAAAAAAAAAAAAAACTGAACTCTTCAAATTTACTACACTGTCTTCGGAGACTGATTACACATTAAAGACTATGTGAGAAGGTGACGTCATGCAAAGCTGACTCAAAGCTCAGAAGCCCACACAGGGCCAAAGTATGCACAGAAGACGCCGACACTGCTGCCATTACAAACCACCATGAGACCCCACTTCACACCCGCTGAGGCTCTGACCAGAAGGACAGCGACAGTGCTGGCTGGGACATGGAGACGCTGGAGCGTTCTGGCTCTGTGGCCGGAGTGTGAAGTGGCGAGGTCACTCAGGAGAGCAGTCTGGCCATTCTTCCTCGGGCTGGACGTGGGGTTATCATGTGACCTAGCAATTTCACCCGTAAGTGCTTACACAAGAGAAAGGACAGCATACGCGGCACAAAAGAGCTGGACACGAATTGTTCCCAGAAGAATTCACTGTGCCAAGAAGTGGAGCCAAGCCAATTTGCCATCACGAGACAAGGGAAACATGTTAACACGGCACACACACAGTGGGATGGCAAAGTGACATATGCCACAATACAGGGGAATCTGGAGATGTTACGGGACAATGGGGGAAGCCAGGCACTGCGTGACCCTACATACAGGAGGTGGCCCGGATAAGCACACCAGGAGAGGAAGAACTCGTGGGGCCAGGGGAGGGAGAGTAACAGCAGCACCTAGCCTCTCTGGAGTAAAGGAACTGTGCTGTAACTAGATGGTGGTGAGAGAGACACTACTTTACAAACACAGTAAAAAGCACTGAATTGCACACTTTAAAAAGATGCAGCTGGGTGTGGTGGCACACCCCTGTAATCCCAGCATTCCGAGAGGCTGAGGCAGGAGGGCTGCCATGAGTTCGAGGCAAGCCTGGGCTGCACAGTGAGTTCGAGGCAAGCCTGGGCTGCACAGTGAGTTCGAGGTCAGCCTGAACTTCATAGTAAGACTATCTCAAAAAGACCAAACAAATAAAAAAAAGGATGAATTGCATTGCATGTAAACTTTATCTTGAAAAACTTTCAGATTTAGTACAGCAATCTAATGGATGGCAATGGTATAATAGATCAAGACGGTGCAGCACGGTCACACAATGAAACACACTCAGCCACAGAGAGGAAGAGACCCTGGATGGCTCTTGAAAGAAGTCTCACTGTATGACAGAAGCCAGGTGTGTAGACAGAACATGACTCACTTACATGAAACAGGAGACAGAATATTCACCACACGTGACAGGAGTCAGAACAGTGAGTGCCTGGGCAGGGGCACACGCCAGTGGCAGAGACGTTTCAGGATGGGGCAGGAATTCCTGGGGACGGAACTGCATGCATCTGTTTCACTCTTTTATTCTCCCGCCCATGCAACTGGGAAACTAGCATCCTTCTTCCCAGATCGTTTTTGGTTTCACAGCTTTGGCATACTCTCTGCCTCCCTGGTTGGTCCCCCCTAGTCCTCACAGCAGACCTGTTGGAAGACACTGATCTCTCCCATGGTGTGTCCTGCACCCCATGCCTTGTGTGCCTTCTCCTGCCACTCAGCAGCAATCCTGCTTCTCTCTTATAACATATATTTTAAAAAAAATACTAATGCATAATTTATACTGGGAAAAATAATATAAAATATTCCAACTTACAGCTGGGCATGATGCTGTACACCTATAATCCCAGCACTCTGGGAGGCTGAAGCAGGAGGATTCCATGTTTGAGCCCAGCCTGGCCAATTTATTGAGTTAGACCATGCCTCAAAATAAAAAATAAAAACCGAGTGGGGACGTAAGTCAGTGCTAAGACCTTCAGTCCAACTCCCAGTAATGAAGGAAAAAAAAAAATTTAAAAATTTTCATTCATTCATTTTTGGTTTTTTGGGACAGGACTGCCATAAAGTTCAGGCTGGCCTCGAACTCATGGCAACCCTCAGTCCCCCGAGTCCAGGTCACTGGCATGTGCCACCACGCCTAGCAAAACCTTCTAATTTTATTTTATTTTATTTTATTTTATTTTTTTACTTTTTATTGGTACCAGGGATCGAACTCACGACCGCCTGCTTGCAAGGCAGGTGCTTATGCCGCTGAGCTAAATCCCCAGCCCTAAAACCTTCTAATTTTAAAAAAGAAAATTTCTTCCTTGATCCCCAGATGAATTTCCCTTTCTCTAATCCTCCTTTGGTAAAAGTTCTTTAAAAAGCCATCTGCATGCGGTGCCTCCATTCCTTCTCCAGTTACAGGAAGCCCACTGCAGTTCCCCTCCCCATCCTTTCGGTGATCTGCAGCAGCACCTGCCGCGTGATGGCTCATGCCCCCTCAGACTGCTGGTTCCCTGGGTTCTGGGACCCCCCTCCTCCTCCCCTGGCGGCTCTCCACCTCCTCCATTTCCTCCTCTTCCTCCTTCTCCTGCTCACTCACTGGCCTCCCTGACTCCTGGTCATCCCAATTGATAAATTCTGGGAGTCGGAATAGGGCTCCCAGTCAGGGTGGCAGCCTCTGAAGCTCTCAGGGACACCATCAGCCCTGCAGCATGTGTGCAGGGCACCTCCCCTCCCCAGGGGCTCTCTTCCAGTCTCACAGCACCCGGTGCCTCAGTGCCTCCCAAACTCCACCAAGCCCGACCTTAAGGCACTGCCTGCCTCAATGTCTAAAATGACAAACTGCCACGCCCCAAACTCCTGATGGCCTTGCACCAAAGGTGCTCTGTGGCAGCCCCAGGTGATTTCTCTCCACCAATCAGTCTGGCATCCAAGGGCGCTGCCCACAGTGACAGAGGCGGCGCAGAGCTGCAGGGGCTATGTTCAGTCCCTACTTCACGAGTCCCTCTGCCCAGAAGCCTGAACAGAATCTCCTGTCACTGCGCGTGCAGTTGAGAGACTGCCATCGGTCTCTGCAGGCCTGGCGTGCCCTCCTGCACCCTCACTCTGCCGGCAGCAGCCCCACTCCTTCCCCCCTGCTGCGCCTCTCTGAACCTTCACACCGCAGCGCCAGGCCAGCCAGGCCAGTGCTCTGCTCCTGCTGAGGTCACCTCAGAGGCGTTATTTCTCTTTACTATACTTGCCACTGCAGGGCACATGGTATCTCTAATTGCCTGTCCATCTCCACCAGAGGCTCTGCTTGTGGCTGCACTGCCAGCTTCTAGGACAGCCTGGTGTTTACCAGCTGCTCAGTACTTGTTGGATGAATGAAGCAGTCACAAGGTGACAGTCACTGCTATTCTTATTTTAGAAGCCTCCCCTGTTAAAATTTGTCAAAAGAAAGTGCCACCTTTAGCTATCAGCAGACAGTAAAAATAATTATACTGCAAGCCCTTGAATCTCAACTTTCAACATTTAAATCATATCAAAAAGTGTAAACACAGGATTACAGCAATCATCATGGAGAAGAAAACATGTAAAAAACAGTTAACTTCCTTCACTTAAGAGCTTTGGCTTCCGTGTCTCTGTATTACCTTTACAAGATGCCTGGTATTTACGGTAACATAAACGTAAGTGCCGGATATTTATGTAAGAAATTCCCTCTAACTTTCCTTGACTATAAATGGGCCTCTGGAACTCTGCAGAGTTCCTTTCCATCACGGCACACAAATCATAGTTTACAATGAATACACACTTAAGCACTACTGTTTCTATGCTGGTGACTCATGTCACTTTACCGATAGGATCAGAAGACTTAAGTCTTAATTTCTGGCTGGCTAAATGTACAGCACCATCCAGCAGATACACAGAGGTGGTTTTTCTTGCTTTTTGGTAGTGCTAGGGATCAAACTTGGGACCTCACACAGGCCAAGAAGAGCCCCATCATGGGCCACAGGCCCAGCCTCCTTAAAGTGCTCACTGCAGGTCAGTAAAAACGTAAAACTGATTCTTTTTGAACTCAGGGCATCCATTACCTTCTCCAGGCTTGGGGTCCCAGCCCAGTCTCTCCCCTATAGGTGAAAAGACATCTTTCACAAACTCCTGGATTTCCTCATAGAAGTCTGTGTGGGACAAGAGAGTTGAGAGAATCCCCAGGTTACAGCTCAGGTCGCTCCACACAGTATAATTGGGCTCATTCACAAAAGCCTCCATGACTTTTAGAACCTCTACAGTGCTAATGATTCCAGCTCGAGCCTGGGATGGGAAAAAACACAAATTAACCTCCTCTTCATTCAAACAGAACAAACCCCGTAAGCATGTACGTTCAGCATTATCTACTACTAGCAACTTTCTGGTTTCAAGTAATGAGACTCCCTATCAAGCTATTATGAAGAAAGCTATTAAAATAAAAATCCTATTACAACATCATTGCTTATTTCTTTGCTATTTAAAAATAACTTAGAAGAATTACACTGTTCTTCCAGAATTTGGAACAACAACAAGCCAGTTAATTTCTCATTCCTACTCAGTTTCTAGGGCCTCGGCTTTGTTTTGTTTTGAAAGTTTTCACACTTTTGGAAAAGCTGCAGAAATAGTTGAGGTTTTGCCTCTTGACAGCAGCTCTTTCAAAGCTGGCCCTGTACCCAGGTCACTCTGCTCTCCCTGATGCATTTCCCAAGGGAGCACAGGCTGGAAGGGTTGCCGATCAGAGCCCCGTCAGCACTGCGTGCAGACAAAGGACCTGGGCCTCGGTGGCCACGGCTGGACAGCCAACCCCCTGTGAGCTCTGCCTGGCCAGGAGCTGGCTCCAGATTGGTGCCTCAAGGGCAATTTGTGCTCAGCTGAGAGGAACCCAAAACCAGGGACTGTGGAAGGTGGGGTGGATCTTAAACCCAATTTAAATGAAAACGAGGGGGTGCATGACATCTAGAAGGCACCTGGCCAATTTTGGAATCCCAATGATAATAATACTAATTGCTCTTTAAATTCTTTCTGAAACAAAGCCTAATATAAATACTAATTTTAAAGTTAATGTACTCCTTTGTTTTTAGTATCTCCTAAAATTTGAGTAATAATAGAGTGTTAAAAAATTCTAGTTTTGCCAGCAGAGTACAACTACTACCTTAGAGAAACATAAAATCACTCTGACTTAAAAAATGTATCAGTAGGGAAATTTCTCCAAAGTGTGTATCTGTGTCAATCCATTGAAATGAAAAAAATTTAACTACTGATAGTTAGAAAACTCTAGCTTAGGAGTGGTGAGATGGGGTTGAATATTCTGTTGATTAATTAGTCCTCCCCTCTCATCCAGAGGTGCTAACCTTCAGGAAGAACCCTGTTCTAATTACGCTTAGTACGATTCTTTCACCAATGAAGTCCATGCAGCAGGAGAGGCTCACCAGGGAGAAGAGGTCGTTCTGTAACCCGAGTCGGTCCACAGGGGGCAGAGAGAGGTCCCGAATGCCTGGTAACAAACTTTCCAGCATGGCGGAGCTGTACTGGGTCCGATAGAACCCGACTGTCCCCAGGTTTAACTGAAAAGACATCCAACAGGCTCTCTTACACACTGCCACTTTATTTTTAAGCCGCCCTTTCCTATGTGTAAAATGAACGCTACTTTTAGGCACATCAGCACAGACCACTCACACTGACAAACAGACAGGGATGAACACATAGCGCAGACACAGAAACCACCCGCCTACAAATGTGCAGAGGGGACGGAAAGGGAGACCTGTGGCAGCAGGGGCACAGCACGGGGCAAGGAGGACAGAGAAAGCAGAACCGCTGAGGTCCCAGTTCCGCGGGGTGGTTCCAGGGGGCAGACCGTATTTCCCACGGCTACAGCGACAACAGCAGAAGCTCGGAGCCTGAGCCCCACGGAACGGCAGCTGTCAAACCTTGAGTCTTAGCCATGTCCTTCTAGTCAGGTCCCGGACCCTCCAAGAAGACCCGGCTCCTTTAACCAACACATTCTGTCAGACTGCCGGGGTGAGGGCACCGCATGGCGCTCACTGGAACTCGGAGTGCTCAGCACTGACCACAGTTATTCCCACAGCCACTCACAAACATGCCAGAGTTTCAGAACACTGACACTCATATCCACGTACGTGTGTAACGGCAAAATGAGAAGACACAAATAGTTTACTATTTATGCATCATTAATTCTATACATAAACCACTACACAATTCTAATGACTGTTGTTTTATCAATTCCTTTTACTTTCACCACTGACACACTTTTATTTATCTAATTACAAGCATAGTGAATGTAACTTTTTTTCATGATTAAGAAACTTTTCTTGCTAGGTGTGGTGGTACACACCTGTAATCCCAGCACTCAGAAGGCTGAGGCAGGAGGATCAGTCCCTGAGAGTTGGAGGCCAGCCTGGGCTACAGAGTGAATTCAAGGCTATCCTAAACTACACAGCAAGATCCTGTCTCAAACAAACAAAAACAAAAACAAAAAAGAAGAAAGAACAAATGAATGAGCTTTTATTGGCCAGGCGTAGTGGCACACATCTGTAATCCCAGCACTTGGGAGGCTGAGGCAGGAGCATGAGCACCACTTCAAGGCTAGCCTGGGCTAGAAGTGCGTTCAAGACCAGCCTGAGCTGCACACTGAAACGCTGTTTCAAAAACAAACAAAGATTTTTTTCTTGTTTCTGAGAGAGGATTTTTTGTTTTCTTTGTTCTGGGGATGGAACTCACAGGCAGGCGCTGTGTCACTAAGTCCTAGCTCCAGAGACAAAGTCTGGCTATATAGTTCAAGCTGGCCTTGAACTCACAGTGATCCTCCTGCCTCAGCCTCTCAAATGCTGGGATTATATAGGTGTACGCCCAATTCCACATCATAATTTCATGTAATATTCCACTGAGAGTATTTTAAAAATTAAAACAAAAAATGGCTTTTTAGAAAAGCACAGCTAGGAATAGTAGTACATGCTTGTAATCCTAGTACTCAGGACGCTCAGGCAGGAAGATCACCACGAAAATTCTGCCTGGGCTACCTGAGTTTAAGGCCAGTCTGAACTACACAGTCAGACCCTGTCTCAAAAACAAAACAAACTAAAATCAAAACCAACAACAACAACAACAACAAAAACAAACAAGAAGGTTGAGTGTGGTGGCATACACCTGTAGTCCCAATACTAGGTAGGCTGAGGCAGGAGGATCACCACATGTTTGGCCAGCCTGGGTTACATGTAGTGAGCAGCCTGAACTTTGACAAGGCCTTGTCTTAAAATAAGTAGGTAAATAAAGCACTAAATTCTGAGGCAATGTATAGTTCCTGTTACGAATCTACAATTGTGGGGCTGGGGATTCAGCTCAGTATTTCAAGTGCTTGCCTGGTAAGGGTAAAGTTGTGAGTTCCAGCCCCAGTTCCCCCCCAAAAAAGATAGGAATCTACAACTGTGCAAAGGGATTACACTAAATATTTTTATTAAGAAGATACAGAAGCTGGACACAGTGGCACATGTAATCCCAGCACACAGGAGGGTGAGGCATTTGAAGTCTGCCTGAGTTACATAGCAGGACTCTATTTCAAAAAAAAAAAAAAAAAAAAAGGGCTGGGGGCTGGGCATAGTGGCACACGCCTGTAATCCCAGCACTTGGGAGGCTGAGGCACGAGGATTGTTTCGAGTTCGAGACTAGCCTGGGCTACAAAGAGAGCTCAAGGCCAGCCTGAACTGCATAGCAAGACCCTGTTTCAAAAAGAAAAAGAAAAGAAAAAGGGGCTGGGATGTAGCTCAGAAGTAAAGCACCTCTGGATTACTGCTAAAAGGACAAAAAAAAAGGAAGCTACAGAGCGCAGCCCTGGGGCATTTGTGAAATGGGTTTAAACCCCAGCCAGAGAGCTGGGGACAGAGCTCAGCAGCACAGACCTGCTTAGCAGGTGTGAGGTTGTGAGCTCCATTCCCAGCACCAAAAAAACAGACAGACAGACTACCAAGAGGAATCTGATGTTTCAGTGACACAAACTGATGATTGTGCACACCTGACCTCTCCTGACTACAGCTGTCCCCACGTGACGACAGAGTATCGAGGAAGCCATGTCACTGTAAGTAGGCAGCTGTAAGCTGCGCAACCTCAAACATCCCAGCCTAGGTGACTTTACACATAGTCTGCCGTCTTCTTCTCTTTTCCTTGGTCTTTTTGAGACAGGTCTTACTGTGTAGTCCAGGCTGGCCTCAAACTCACAGTGATCCTCCCGCCTCGGCCTCCCGAGTGCTGGGATGACAGGCATGCACCTCCAGGCCCGGTCTACTCTACTACTTTCTTTCCCACTCTGTCCTTACCCATTTTTGTCTACTTACCTATGACTGAAAATATCTGGGTATCTGGACAACACTATTAAAACTGGCTTTAGGGTTCAAAAAAGAATTAAGAAATGTGTTTTCTTGGGCTGGGGATTTAGCTCAGTGGCTGAAGTGCTTGCCTGGTAAGCACAAGGTCATGATGAGTTCAATCCCCAGTACCAAAAAAAAAAAAAAGAAGAAATGTGTTTTCTGGTCTATTTTTTTTTTTTTTTTTGAGGCAGGGTCTTGCTCTGTAGCCCAAACTGGCCTCAAACTCACAGTGATCCTCCTGCCTCAGCCTGCTAGGATGACTGAAATGTGTGTGTGTATGTGTTTGTTTGTTTGAAAGTCCTACTCTAGACCAAAGCAGTAAACACAGTCACGAAACCCAGAGTGGTAGGAAGAAGTCTAGTCAGTAAAGATAAAATGGCTATGGCATTTCTGGACTCACCTTCACCCACTGGTCTGGTTTGACATTTTTCAAAAGCACACTCATCTCTGGTTTATCCATCAGGATTTTTAGTTTGGCCTGGCTGGGATCTTCGCTAGTAGAGATTGTGATAGGAACCATCCACTGAGGGCAGTCTTCTCCTAAACAAGAGATCAAATGGAAAACTTGGAACATAACTTCACAGTGGAAGAAACAGAAGGTTGAAGGGAGAAGGACTGGCGGGGAGGGCCTGTGGTCAGGGTTGTGTCTGCTGCGGGAGCTCCTCCAGGTCCCCTGAGCTGCAGCGGTGTTAAGGGAGAGCTACTGACAGGAGCTCGGCGGGCTAAAAGCCCCGCCAGCCTGCGTGTAGAGTAATCCCAAATGCAATGACTGAGACAATTTTAAGGTGCAATCCCCAGCAGGTATGTACACTGCTGAAGCACCTCGGAGTTGATCTGCTGCCTATGTTTGTTATGGAGTACTGGGGTGCGAACCCAGAGCCTTTACATTCAACTACATACCTAGTCCTTTTAAAAGGTATTTTATTTTGAGACAGGGTCTCAAAGTTGCCGATTTGGACTCAAATTTGCCATCCTCTGCCTCAGCCTCCCAGGGAGCTGGGCACAGGCGGCAGGTCCCGTCCCAGAAGTGCTGCTCCCGCTCTGGGGAGTCAGCTCTCTGTACCCAGCTACCAGGCGCGAGTGCAGCAGAAACAGACACTGCGCTGACAAGCGGAGCCCTCGCCTAGCATCTCAGAGGAGCCATGGCTGGTGCAGACGAAGTTTACAGCTAACATATGTAATGTTCTATTAACATTAAAACCTGATTGTTGAGTTAAACACAGGTTAAACCCCTCTATCCTCACTAAGCTGTTCCAGAATTTTTTTGTTTGTTTGCTTTGGGGATCGAACTCATGACCTTGTGCTTGCCGGGCAGGCGCTTACACCATTGAGCTAAAAATCCCCTGCTTGTTGTTTTTTGAGACAAGATCTTGCTGTGTAGTCCAGGCTGTCCTTGTACTAAATGAGTAGCCCAGGTTGGCCTTGAACTCCTGGCATTCCTCCTGCCTCAGCCTCTCAGTGCTGGGATTGCATCACCATGCCCAGCCCGTAGTCCTTAACTGTACATGGAATGTATCAAGTCTTTGGGGGAAGAACATGACAAGGCATTGGTGACTGGAACATATTAAAAAATATGGTGAATGGTTACATTAAAGAAAACACAAAGCCAGAGATACAGCTCAGTGGCACAGCACCTGCCTGGCAAGTAAGAGGCCCAGAGATTGATTCTTAGTACAAAAACAAAACAAACAAACCAGTAAAAGACAACTGTCATTTATCTGCCTCAAAACATCCCTCTTAAACATACTTATCATTCTCCCCACTTTCTTCTTCTTTTGTGTGTGTGAGAGACAGGTTCTCACTGGGCAGTTTAGGCTGCCCTTGAACTCACACACACAGCAATCCTCCTGCCTCAGCCTCCCAAATGCTGGGACCACAGGTATGTGCCACCACACTCTGCTCTCGTTTTCTGTGAAACAGGAGTCACGCTGTATTATAAGGACCCTAAGAATGTCAAGTAAGACTGGGTTGCACTGCTTAGCACAACGCCCAGCACGTCCTACAGCAAGGACTACAGACCTTGCGCTTGCTAGGCTAGCCTGGGCTGCTGAACTGTCCCGGCCCTTCCTCATACGTTACCTCCCCACAATGCGGAGACATGAACTCCTCAAACTCAGAACACTACAAATGTACGGTTCATCTTCTTTTTTTTTGACATCTTAAATTTCATTTTAATTTTTTTACCATCTTGTTTTTGTTTAAATTTATTAAAACTACAAAAACAGTGAATTTTTTCCCACCAATCCTATATTACCCCAGTTTATCCATCAGCTCCACTCCGAGCCATCTGCTTACCAACGTAGGGTCCACTGGCACAGAACTTCCTCTGGGACAACCTCAGTAATCGGTCATCTTCCACCTAAAGAAGCAAACATTTCTCTTGGTGGGGGCACCATTTCTGTGACAAAGCAGACAATGGAACTCGTACTACCGAATGCCTCCTGAGTGCCCCACATGCAATGGTGACAGAGATGGTGATGCTATGGAATGGGAAAAAGGCCTGAAATAAAAGGTCTAGCTTTTATTCACCTGAAATAAAAGGTCTAGCTTTCATTTCTATTTTTTGAGACAAGGTCTCACTACACAGGTCAGGCTTGCTCTGAGGTCACTAGGTAGCCCAGGCTGGCCTCAAACTCATGGTACTCCACCTGCGTCAGCCTCCAAAGTGCTGGGATGACAGGCGTGCACCACCACGCCCAGCCAAAGTCTAGTTCTATACAATTATAATACGATCCTTTGAAAGGCACATGTATCCAGATCAGGGTACGTTTCTAAAAGCAAAGTATTCGTTTTCAAAAATATACACGACAAAAAAGCAAGTTACACTCATCTTAGAGAAAGGTTATGTCTTAGACTTTTCCATTTCCAGTAAGCAGTACATCAGATGAGCAAGTGGACTCAGAATTCAGAGTGCAAGCTTTGGAACGCTCTATGACCATGAAGGCAGCACAGAAACTGTTTCAAGGATGCGTTTTGAAATGGAATACAGTGTGCGTGTGCAAGCTGCAAATAATTAAAAAGAAAGGGCATGTGTTTTTAAAATTCCATATTACTTGCTTGCTTTATCACCAGTCACTACCCTCTAGAAGATTTCAAATTGCACAAGACAGAACAGATTTAAGATCACCTAAGTTAAATGTAAAACTGGGCCACTGACTCTCACAGAAAACTTGACTATAAAAAATAGGGATTAAAAACATAAAATATTTGAGAAAGCAATGGACACTTCTAATGCCATAAAGAAATTATGAACAAAGTTCAATATTCTTTCACGGGTTAGTTACAGATCACGTAGCTTTCCTTTAAAAAGTGGAAAACTTGATTCAGAACTAAAGCAAAAATATTTAAAATCAGGGAATGTGAATTGGGAAATAGATCACACACACTCAAAACGCTGTCTAGGCCAGGGTGGCGGTGCGTGCCAGTAGCCCCTGTACTTGGGAGTCTGACTTTGTGCCCCTCCTTACCTTTCTTTGTCTTTCTGGATGCTCTGAAGTTTAGGCTGTCCTCCAACTCACCTTGTAACCCAGGCTGGCCTGGAACTCACACAGATCTTTCTGCCTCAGCCTCCCAAAGAGTGCTGGGATTATAGGTATGTGCCACCATGCCCGAAAAGCTCTCCTGTTCTTAAAAGGACTAAGACTAATAGACAGCTTTTGTATGTTTTGTACTTGGAATTGAACCCACAGTTTCAGCATGTTGTGCAAGCCTTCTACTATGAAGCTACAATCCTGGGCCCCTTTTTACTTTTTTTTTAATCAGTACTGGGGATTGAATTCACAACCACGTGCTTGCAAGGCAGGCGCTTATGCCGCTGAGCTAAATCCCCAGCCCCCTTTTTACTTTTTTGAGACACAGCTGCAACCCCCTCACCTCATCCACCAACACAGCTGGGACTGCAGTTGTGCTCTGCCGGCCTTTTTGTTGTGATATAAAATGGAGGAGGAGCTTGGCTGTGCACATGGACATAGCAAAGCAAAGCAGATTTAGCTCAGTGGCTTAAGTGCCCGTCTGACAACTATGAGGTCCCAAGTTCAAACCCAGGTATCAAAAAACAAAAACAAAAACAAAAACAAAAACAAAAACAACAACAACAAAGAAAACAGACGTTCACGGAAGCCGGATGGGAAGGGTAAACCAAGAAGCAATGGAGTATTCCTCTGTGGGTGTGTGCTGGGGATTGAACCTGGGGCCTTTGCATACTTGAGCTATATCTCTAGGTCCTTTACATTTTTTATTTTGAGATAGGGCCTTGAACTTTTTGCTCCTCCTGACTGAGCCTCCCGGAGTGCTGGGATATTATCATGGGGAGCCACCACACCTGGCTTCTGTGGGCTGATGAACCATTATGCTCTGAAAAGTGTGCTCTGGGCCAGGGATCAAGCTCAGCTGCACAGAGCCTGCCTGGCAAGCACAAGGGCATGAATTGAACTCACTTCCTGGTACCAAAAAGAAAAACTGTGTTCTGTTGAAGAGAAAAATCTATGACAGAACAGTCTTCCTGTGTGTGATCATTAAGTAGTTAATAGTTTCTTTTCCCCCTTTTTGTGGCAGTGGGGATTGAACCCAGGGCCAAGAGCTTGCTACTTGCTAGTGTTCCACTACTGAGCCACATCCCCTGAACTTTTAAAAAAAATTTTAAGATAAAGTCTCATTAAATTGACCCCCACACTACTTTGAACTTGCAGTCCTATTCATTCGTAAGATTAACAGGATGGTGTGGTTTTGGTTTTGGCTGAGATGTAGCCCCAGGTGGCCTTGACCTCACAATCCTCCTGCCTCACCCTCAAGAGTGCTGGGTTTACAAGTGTCAGCCACAATGACTGCCATGTATATGCTAATAGTCTTCTGGGAGGTTTTTGCTTGTTTTTTTAGACAAGGTCTCACCATGTAGTCTAGGCTGACCTCAAATTTGTGGCGCTCTTCCTGTCTCAGCCTCCAGAGTGCTGGGATTCCAGGGATTCCACCTTGCCCAGTTTACCAATCTTAAGTCATGTAAAGAGAAACCTATTCAATCTAAAAAGAGAGTCGATGTCAAGCCTGACTAGTCAGTTCTACTAACAGACTGGTCCAACATAGAGAGGAGAAGGTGAAAGCAGAATGCTCTCAATGGTAAGCTACTACCTTTTTTTTTTTTTTTTTTTTTTTGGCACCAGAAATTGAACTCAAGACCTTGCCCTTGCTAGGCAGGTGCTTTTCAAATATCCTAACAGCCAATCAAGTTTCCAGGATGTATGCTTTATTATAAAATCTATTCAAATTGAAAGTTAAAACATGGCTCTGGGGTGAGGTGTAATGGCACACACTTGTAATCCCACCACTCAGGAGGCTGAGGCAAGACAGCCATGAGCCTGAGCCACAGAGTGAGTTCAGGACAGACTAAGCTACACAGTGAGACCTTGTCTGGAAAAAAAAAAAAGGATGCCTCTGGAAGAGCTTCAACATTCTGATGGTCCATGTAAATTTACGTGCATTTTGAGAGCCCAGTTTAAAAGTCACTGATAGGGAACTGGGGATTTAGCTCAGTGGCATAAGCAACTGCCTGGACAGTGCAAGATCCTAAGTTTGATTCCTGGTACCAAATAAATAAATGTATAAAGCAAATTTGCTAATTTGCATTGCCACACAAAGAAAAATCCTTCTAAAACAAACATGGTTTTTATAGACAATGCAGGATCACAGGGAAAAAGTGCTACTAATTCTTCTAAACATACAAAGCAATTAATTCTGCATGCAGCTCTTGGTGAAGACATTTAAGAGAACAATTTCACACCTGCATAAAGGTCTACACTTACCTGCTCCGCTTCCACATAAATGAGAGGGAATCCCATCTGTTTGGTCCAGGTACTCATCACAGCTGCTATAGGTTTACCACTTGCATTCTCTAAACTTTCCCAAAGATCCTCTAGGAAGTGAACATAAACAGTGATAATTTAAAATGTTTATATGTTTATTTTCCTGTAACAAATCAAATATTTATATATTTGTCGGCTTTTTGAGACAGCGTTTCACTACATAGCCCAGGCTGGCCTCAAACCACAGTGATCTTCCTGCCTCAGCCTCCCAGCATCATTTTTATTTTTAACTGAATAAAAATACATAGCAACACCCTGTCTCAAAAAAACAACGAATAGACAGATGGAGGTGAGACAGGATCCCACTAAGTTGCCCAGGTTGGGCTCAAACTTGCAATCCTCCTGCCTCATCCTCCTAGTGGATTAAGATTATAGGTGTGTGTCACCATGCCCTGTTATATTACAGATTTCAGGATGAAGGCAGTGTAGAGTGTCAAGCACTGATAAGTAAAGTGACTAACACTTAGATATCCACCCTGGAAAGACCACCCTCGCTTCAGTGTCTGAGGTGAGTTGAAAGGAGGCAGGTGGCAGCAGGTTTGCAGGCTGCTGCAGAATCCAGGGGCAGGACAACGGGGGCCCGGGTCCAGGGAAGACAGTACAGTCGGACACGGCCCTTGCTTCTCTGCGGGACACACTCTGTGATCGATAACAGTGAAGTCATAGCCTCTGTGATGCAAAACATGGCCCACGGCCTAGGAGGCCAGGGTCTCAGCCTCTTTTCTCTCCGTTTCTACCCGGAGCTATTAAAATGTTACCTGTGGCAGCATTCTTTTGCTGGAACTTGGTTAGATACATATTCATTCCTTTCTTAAAGTCCTGAGAAAACACAATTGTTCAATTTAGAGTCAGCCTGGAGAAGCTATAAAGAACATGCCTGTTAGCAGTCAAAAGCAAATGGACTCAGAGACCAGGAATCAGACACACTGACCAAGGGCCTGCTCTGGCCTTCTGCTTAAAGGGCTACTCCCCACCTTCCACTTCTGCTGTTAAGCACCCTTCACCTTGGAGTGAGGACTGAGCCCAGGGCCTTCACACTGGTTATCACCTCACCTCTACTTGTCTCTATACCTACCTGCCCATCACCTACCCTTTCATTCACCTATTTATTAGGTTTTTGGTTCAGGGTTTTGCTATGTATTCCTACTATAGTATGTATTCAGGCTTCCCTGAACTTAAGGTGATCCTCTTGCTTCAGCCTCCTGAGTGTGGGTATTAGAGGTATGCATTAGGCTGGGGATTTAGCTCAGCGGTGTAAGCACCTGCCTGGAAAGTGCAAGGTCATAAGTTTGATCCCCAGTACCAAAAACAAAAAAAAAGATTGTGTAGAGGTGTGCATTACCACATCTGGTTTTACGTATTTTGAGACAGGGACTCATTACAGTAAATTACTATGTTTGCTTGGCTGGGCTTAAATTTGTGATCTTCCTGCTTCAGTCTCTCAGACAGCTGGGATTATAGGCATGCATCACTATACCCAACTGTTTTAATTTTGAATTTTTGTTCCGTTTTTGTTAATTTTTTTGACAAAAGATCTCACTATGTAGTCCAGGCTGGCCTTGAACCAGCAATAATCCTCCTGTCTCAGCCTCCTGAGTATGCCACCATGCCCAGCTTTGGTGCTTTTAAATTTGTAACAGCTTTCTAGTACTACTTCAGACATCCTTGTACATCATCATCTTCATCATTTTGGGTTTTTGAGACAGTCTGGCTATGTAGTTCTGGCAGGCCTTGAACTCACTATGTAACCCAGTTAACCTGGAACTTGTTAGTAATCCTCCTGTCTCAGTCTCCCAAGTGCTAAGATTACAGGCATTTACTACCACACCTGGCCTGTATAGCATTATTCTAGGAGAACAAAACAGTCAATATTAAAAAAGAGATAAGCAAAAAGTTACCTAAGAATTCTGAGAACACTTTATTCATAGAGAACTATGATTTCACTATGAAAGGAAGATTTTTAAAAGTCGCTCTTCTACCTTATCCCCGATGTAGTCATGCAGCATTCGGATGACAGAGGCACCTTTGCTGTAGGAGATGGCGTCAAATATCTCATCAACCTCCGAAGGGTGGCCCACACTGACCTGTGCGCAGATGGGTATCAGGGTTAAGCCTGGGATCAGACAACGTGTGCTACCCAAGTACACAGAATGCTTTCTAGGAAAACTCTTCTAACTCAAGAGATGCGCTCCTTCCTTTAACTTGATGTGCATAGTAATCCTCAAAAGCATGCACTTGCAAATCTTAACCAAGAGGACACACAGTGTGTCGTTGGTCATGCTCCTCTTGGACGGCTCCACCTGCTGGGACAAGTCGCTGTCCACTCTCCATGCTTAGGATGCAGCACAGATGCAAGGAAGCAAAATGCTGATGTCTAACAGTGATTAAGATGGCTTAAAATTATCTAGGCCCCTGCTTTAGCACATCTAAGCAGGACCTTACCTCTAGTTCTTTGAATGAATGTAATGTTCAAACATATAAACTAGCTGAAATAAAGAAAAAGTAAGTCAAGAGAGCTAAAACACACACAAAAACAGGCAATGACAGGCCGGGATATAGCTCATTAGCACAATGCCCGCCTGGCAAGTGCAACCTTTTGAATTCAAGCCCTGGAACCAAAAACAAAACATACAAAAGAAAGCAAAAAAACCCAGGTGACAACAATAATAAAATGTCTGGAATTTTCCTTCAAACAAACAATGGAAGCTGGGTGTGGTGGTACACGCCTGTAGTCCCAGCACTCAAGAGGCTGAGACAGGAGAATTGTTGCAAGTTCAAGACCAGTCTAGGCTACAAAGTAAGCTTAAAGCCAGCCTGAACTGCATAGACAGTCTGTCTCAAAAAGACAAAAGACAAGCAAACAAAGGAATCAGTGTTATCAAACAGATATAGTATCTCCTGTACTATTCAATGAAAAAGCATTACCTGCATCTAGAAAAGCTGAATTTCTACATTGCCTACCTAAAAAGGAACATGAGTTGGAACTCAATCTGGTTAGGTTTTTAGGAGTGAAACAATGAATTATAAAAACAAGCAATGTCACTCATGCACGTTTCTCCTCTCAGAGCCCCGACATCTCCGTGAAGGTTACCTCCCTGAATGCAAGCAGGCAGAGGTGGGACTGACAGCAGCTCACCTCGATAGGGTGGCTGTTATCCAGGGCATCTAGCTCCTGGGCCCGGGTATAGTCGGCGGACACAAACTGAGTCCAGATATCATACTCCGGAAAGCAGTGGTCTACACACAGATACTCAATCCAGGAGGCAAAGCCTTCATTCAACCAAAGGTGAGTCCACCATTCCTAAAAACAAAAGGTACAAACAGGTGAAAAACCAAGACGACTGCTACTCCAATTTAAAACCATATCCCCTTCTTCCCTTTTTGTTGTTACTTTGGTATCTTCTGTCACCATGCCCTGTTGCCCCTCTGCCACTCACCCGGCCTTGGAGCCAGCTGATTATGGACTGAAACCTCCACTGACTGTGAATGAAATAAACCTTCCCTTCCTTTAAAAAAAAAAGGGGGGGGGTACCCTTCTACTATACCCTGAAACTTACAACTTAATGAACTAAAATTCAATTGAAAACATTTAGTAAAGGACTCATTTGTGGGGGAGAACCACAGAAGAAATATTAAGAACGTCAGTTGGTTTTATCAAAATCATGCCTAAGGGACATTTTCAAAATACTGCTAAGTAACTTCTTGCTACCAAAGGCAGGAGGAAGGGGTATAAATGGAAAAGGGAAAAGAGGGCAGAGGAGAAAACATCATTACGAAACATTTAGCTGCCCCGCTGGGTGTTGTATCCCATGCCTGTAATCCCAGCACTCAAGAGGAGGCTGAGGCAGGAAGATCACTACAACTTCAAGGCCAGCCCAGGTTATGTAGTTAGTTCAAGGTCAGCCTGAATTACAAAGCAAGACCCTCAAAAACCACAAAAATCCATAAAATTCAGTTTAGTGTGGAATTTATCTTAAAACAAACAAAAAAACACTACAAAGCTATCCAGGCCAAAGAAGGAAAACTAGAAACTATCTCCACACTGATTAAGAAAAAAAACCACTGACTTATGAATTAAGCTTTCTAGAGAAATAGAAAAATAGTGTACTGCTGTAATAGGGTTATATGGAATTAACAGAGATGTCCTGGAAGCAAGTGGTTCAATAATGAATATTGTTTCACCAATATAAAATGCTCACTTGTTAATACAACCACATAGCATAATGGACAAAGAACTAAACAGGTGACATAAAAATGTTAAAAGATCAGCCTTTTAGAAAGGTATCTCAATCTGATTCCCATTAAAATTGATTAAATTGCCAAGGCAGAGGCCAAAAGACTAAGGCAGACAGTGAAAGGCAAAGGGGTGTGCTGGGACTCGGGTGACCCAGCACTGTGGGCAGGAAGTGGGGGCTGCCTGTCGGGCATCTCAGGCCATTCACCCGCCCTCTGCTTAGATAAAGCTGTTCCCCAACCAGTCTCTGAGCCCTTGAATTTCAATTTATGAAACAATGAGATAATGCCAAGTATTTTACTCTAATAGAATTTAGTGCTTTTACTTTCAAAGTCAAATTACAAGGTCTTCTCAAAGCCAACCGAAAAAATTTTATAGGAAGTAACAAACTTGCTGCATGAGCAGAAAATACCACTTCCCCCATGTTTGAATACAGGCACTAAGGCACGTAACACCGTGCAAAATTATATTAAAACCACTTTTCTAACCTGTAAGTAAGGTTTTCAAAATATCAAAGACAAAAGCAAGGATTTTTGAGGAATGACTTTCTTTAGGAACCTCCCAGACATGACACAGCTGCTCAGCGTCTCACTTCCTGCAGGACGTGGGCTTTACCCAGTATCCAGGCCAGCTGGACTATGTGGCAGCAGCGGTGGCTGTGGGGTGATCTGGCGCTGCCGCTGTGCATCCCCAGCAGGAGCAGCGGCTTCCACAGGGAGCACTGATTTTCAGTAAAAATGAAAGGTCGGGGCTAGCAGACAAATAGTTCCCTATAAACACTAATAAAGGAGAATTCCAACCGAACGGCTGGGATTGTTTTGCACAGTCTTGCTGTGGAGTCCAGGCTGGCCTCACACTCGCAGGGGGCCCCTTCCCACTGAGCTACATTCCCAGCATTTTTTTTTTTGAGATGAGGTCTCCCCTAAATCACCCCATCTCTCACACAGCTGGGATTACAGACCTGTGCTAGCATTCTGCTGATTCATTCTGTACGGGGGGGGGGTGGGGGGGGGTGTCGCTTTTTCACCCAATTATTACTAACTTTCCCGTTCGCAGACATATTCTAGAATAGTTTTAAGAAATATTTTCTATTGAATAAAAATTGCCTGTAAGTTCTCAATCCATGTAGATATTCTGAAAAATACTTTTCCAAAAATAGATCTTTTAAAATAAGATTTTCTACCAGTCAGTTGGCATGTTACAACCAAGCCTGACACACTATATGGCTGAAGTAATGTGTACCATGATAAAGATAAATGTATTTGAGCACTAAAAAAAAAAAAATATTAAATACCATAGTAACAAGATTTCCAAACCACTGATGGGCGAGTTCATGTCCCACAACCAGAGCAACCCACTGGCGCGATGAAGAACAGGAATTTTTTGGATCAATAAGCAATGCAGTCTCCCTGGGTTAAAAATAAATAAATAAAACAAAAATATTGCAAAAACAGTGGTATGCTTAAATCAAACATGCCTGAAAGTGATTCAAACAGTAAGCAAGATCATCAGCTTAGCTTTTAAGGAGATACCAAGAAACATTTTTTTTTAGCATATACAGGATACCAAAAGCTCTACCAACACTACCCAACTGGAATTCAAACAGATGAGCTACGAGACATGACCGGAGTTTATAGGTCGGTTATCTAAAATGTAGGTCGGCCTCGTCTAAGCCTATGGATGACTGCGTCACCAAAGACATCCTTGCATTAAAGCAGAGAAGCAGCAAGGGGGACCCAGCCACAGCCCTGAAAGGACGCATGCAGACTGTCCAGATGCAGCGCATTGAAAAGCAACTGAAAGCAGAAGGGAAGAAATTGTTTACAGACTCTGCTTTAAAAATTATACAACCCACATGTTTGCGCTGCGGTGACAGACATGAAAATTTGGCTAGGAGTCCGAAATCAGGGGAGGTTCTTCAAGCTGGGTAAATAACTAGGAAACTACTGGGAGGAACGAGAGGCACAGAAATGAGACACTCAGCCAAGAATGTGTCTAAAAATGCCACCAATGCCAGATGCTGGCTATTACAATCTCACACCCTCAGATAGTAGCACCCCAGGGGGAGGTCCGTCTGCATCTTGAAATGTGCATTCAACAGGGAGAAGACAGAAAAATTTACACCAAAATCATAAAGCCAGCTATTCAACTGTCTTTAGCATGAAGTTTGCATGAAGTGGCCAGAAAGAAGGCCCGAAAGCGCGTCGCCCACATACCTGTACGTCACCAGGCCCCAGTTCTCCATGGCACCTTCACAAAATAAACATGAACATTTACTGATCTAAACATCCACACTTCTCCCCCAAATCACAAAATCACATAAATATTGCAATTCAGCAACAAAGTGAAATTTACTTTACCAGCTGCAAAATCTGCAATAGCAATGAGATCGATCTTGGGCAGAGGGTAAGGGACACTGAAGTAGTCCTTATAAAAAGGCAAGGTTTTAGCAGCAACCTATAAGAAGATACACAAAAGAACTGTCTGATAGGTACTTTATTACAACTCACACATACATACACACAGGAAACCTGTTGTAACCCAAGTATCTCAAATTACTAGAAAGCAACCCCAGGGAGCCCTTCCTCCAAAGATGGCCTCAGCCCCCAGCTGCGTGTAACTGGCCAAACCCCCAATTTCTAACTCCAAACAGAAGCATGCAGCTTCCACCCATTCCCTACATAAATGAATTCCACTTTCCATTCTCTTCTTTCTCGGGGCTGGGGTATGAACCTGCAGCCCTGTGCATGCCAAGCATGTCTATACCCCGTTCCTGATTCTTACATCCTGTGAATTATTATCTAGCAGTGTTAATGCAACATCAAAATTGATATTTCCAAAACACTATTAAAAATGAAACCACAACAACACAATAACTTTCAGATTAAATTATAAATAATATACTAATAATTGATCAGAAATGTAAATTCCCCAACCTGGAGTTATGGACTGTTGGAACAATCCTCTTCAAGTACATTTACCTCTAACGCAAATTTTCCTTGCTCTGCTTTGCCAACAGGGGTGTAAACACGGACACACACACCATCTTTTGACCTTGTTTCTACAAAGTCATATTCACCCACAACAAATGCCACCAAATATGTAGACATAACAGGTGTTCGAGCGAACTTCACTTCCACTAAATTTTCATCATCTGGGTATGGTTTCCGGTCAATTACATTCTTTAAAAAAAAAAAAAAAAGCAGAATTTAAACAGCTTTACATTAACACTTCAAGGCAAACACTAGCCAGGAGCAGAACCTGCAGAGCTCACTTCCCCTCCCCAGCTGGCCAGGTGAGGGCGGGACCTTCCTCCTGAGGGAGGGTCTGATAAACACTCATGTTAGGACTACCAAGGACCCCTGGGAGCTAAGGGAATCAGCTTGTCTTGAATACCTATAGGCACGTACTGGGGTGTTTACAAAACTTTTCAAACCAAATGATGACAGAGAAAACATTTATTAATAAAAATAAATACAGTTACAGAATTTCCCATCTTAAAGGGCCTGGTCTTCTGCAGGTCGAGCACTCTCTGTGCCATGGCTCCTCGAAGGAATGTGCTCCAGGATTCCCAGCTCCCTCTGGTGCTCTCCCTTCTTCCTACTCAGGCTCTGACTCCTCAAACTCTCTCTCTCCCCAAGAGGACTTACTCAAGAGCAGACCTACGAATTCACACTCGTATGTAAATGAATATTTCAATTTAATGTGTTAGCCTCCCATCAAGGAATACTTGAGCAAAGAGTGACTTTCTAGCAATGGAATTATCCCAGCAGTGGGCTGGTAACAGCTAGCTATTTAAGGTTCAGTAAGCAGCTTTTCCAGGTTCCCCAGAGCTCAGGCTCCAGGGAACCATGGGACCTAACCAGGAGGCTCCAGAGGATACACTTAGAGTGGTGAGTGCTTCCTTCTGCATAAGATCAGCCACGTCAAAGAAGAGGGCACAAAGAATACAGTCAGCCCAAACCCAGAGATCCTTCACACTGCTCAGCACCTTCACACTGACAGCAATAACACCAACCCGTTTTTATTTTGAGACAAAGTGTCATTAAGTTGCCCAGGGTGAACTTGAACTAGTGATTCTCCTGCCTCAGCCTCCCAGAATGCTGGGATTATAAGCATTCACCATGCAGCCAGGCTTATCTCTTTGACAAGGAATTTCTTCCATGAGGGGGGAAATAGTCTGAAAAAATAAGGCTATTAAGAGAAAATAGGGGGAGCTGGGGATTTAGCTCAGCGGCATAAGCGCCTGCCTTGCAAGCAGGCAGTCGTGAGTTCGATCCCTGGTACTGATAAAAAAAAAGGAAAAAGACCAAAAAAAAAAAAAAAAAACCAGAGAGAGAGAGAGAGAAAATAGGGCTCACCAGAAATAAAAAACAAAACAAAACAAAACTAACACTGGTATTTTTACACTAAGCAGCGTGCAAGGTGCTTTCATGTTATCAGCAAATCAAAGTCTCGTCCACAAAAGTCTACCAAAGCCTAAAACTGTAATTATCACCATATACACACCATGTTCGACAAAGCGACTCTGTCTTTAGGAACAACCAAGGAGATATCGAACGTTGCTTTGATGGCTGGCTCATCCCAGCAGGGAAATGCTCTCCGGGCATCAGTAGCCTAAAGAGAAGAACATGAAATGTAAACACCACCAAATTACCCGTCTTCTATGCTTCTGTCTGTCCCTCTGCCCGTCTATCAATCTTTCATTCATTGACTCATTCATACACTGTCCATGTGCTTGTTCATCTGTTTCATCAGGAATTTACTTTCTACTCAGAGCCACACAGCAAGCTTGGTACTGACTAGAAAGAAAGCACAGTGCTCGCTACCATTCTCCAATAAGCTGGTTCTGGGAGCTAGGTCTGCTGCAGCCATTAACAATTACAGGAGAATCATTTGTAATTATATATTCTTTTTTTTAATAAAATGTTTCAGCATTTCAAATTCATTGCGAATGGCTTCATCAACAAACAGCACAAAGAGTCCACATGAAGGATTCAGAGTAAGGGAGAATGACAGGTTATCTCTCTGGATTTTATTATGAAAACAGAAATATTCTCAACCTTTGATGTCTTGTTCTTTATCTGGAACGGCAGCAATGGAAATAAAGACAGACGTTCTGTCACATCAGAACATGTCATGTGTTTAATGACATTTCCATATACTATGCATAAAAACTGTTAGTATCTGACCTACTCAAAAAGAACTCATTCTTTCTTTGAAACTTAAAGAGAAAACAAAACAAAATTCTATGGTTCTGCAGAGTTAAAAAGGAAAATATCCTTTGTAAACAAAACAAAATCCAAATGCAACAAGTGACAAGATATTATATCACAGAAAGGAGAAAACATGCAGAAGAGAAGCTCACATTTCTGAAAAAGGGTTTATCTAACTGACACATGGCAGGTGGCTGATCGTATTCCCAACGACACAGCTGGGCACAGTGGCACATACCTGTAACCCCAGCACTTGGGAGACCAAGGCAGGAAGAGTGCCACAAATTCGAGGCCTGCCTGGGTTACATAGTGAGTTGAAGGACAACCTGAACTATACAGCGAGACTCTGTCTCCAAAGAAAACTTTCCAAACAAGTTAAATAAATCATGAATTCTATCACATAAGACATTTGAAAAGAAAGCGGAATGTAAGAAAAGAAATTATACACAGAAACTTTAAATTAAAAGCAGTAACAGTATAACATTTCTACTACAGGAAATTAAATGAGTGATATGCATAGTAAGATTTAAAAGTTTCTCAGATAATCAAAGCATAGGGCTGGGCAGCTCAGCAGCATAAGCACCTGTTCGGCAAGTGCGAGGTCCTGAGTTCAATTCCCAGTAGAAAAAAATGATAATCAAACAACAAACTTATGAAGCTAGCAAAAGGTACATCTGAGAAACATATTCAAGCTGACACTGTTACTGTCAAGGTCATGAAATAATTTGTAGGCCAGCAATATAGCTCAGCAACATAAGCGCCAGCCCAGCAAATGCAGGTCTTGGATTCAATTCCTAGTACCAAAAAAACGGAAAACAAAAGAAATAATTTGACAGGCAAGAAAACAAAACAAAGCAAAACAACATGCTACCTACAAAGAAAAATGAAACACTCTAATTTGTGATTCTTGACAAAATGAATTATGAGAGACTTCACGTTCTTTATTTTTTCATTTTTAAAGTTTTAGTGGTTTGTTTTGTTTAAACAGGGTCTTTTTCTGTAGTGCAGGCTGTCTTTGAATTCATTATGTAGTCCAGGCTGGCTCCTGGCCTCAAACTCATAGCAGTCCTCCTGCCTCAGCCTCCCAAAAGCTGAGACCACACCCAACTTATTGGTACATTTTATACATAATGATCACACTCCCCACAGGAAATTTGTACCTTGCCACAATATAACTTGCTTTTTACCCATTCCCCTCCTCTCCCTTCAACCCCTCTACTTCTCCTTATTCACAAAAGCTTTGTTTCTATTTTCCCTTCTAGTCTCCTTTTTTCTTGTCCCTTTTTTCTTCCCCTTACCTTGTTCCCCTTCCCCATTTGAAAATTTTCTTCCTATTTCTCAGTATCTATTACACCTTTGGTCCTCATTTACACTCTCAGTTTCTCACACCAGAGAAACAGTGTGACATTTACACATGTGTGTCTGATTTATTTCACTTCAGAGTGTGGGAGACACTGGAACCACAAGTACAGACTACTCTAGGGGAAACTGCCAGCCAATCGCACCATTTTAGAGCTGAATAAACTAGGTGTGTGGCCCACTGTGTCAAAGAAGCACTCATGGATGAGGGAAGCAGGGAAGCACAGGCACCAGGAAAAGTCACAGAAGCCCTCCAGTGTGGCTGCGCGCCATGGGAGCAGATCTCAGGAAGCAGAGGCTCACTCTGCATGGGGTGCTGCCGAGGGCACTCAGCGGTTCACATGCGCACGAAGGAGGGGTGGCTGACATTCTGCAGGCAGCACAACCCTGCTTTTGTCTCACCTCAGTGAAGTTCCGAGGTGTCCTTCTGCCTCACTTGATCACACCCCTGAGTAATCCTGCCTGAGACTGGATGTCTGTGACAGTGTTGATGACCAACAAGAGAACCACATGGGCTTTCTGTGAGTGCGTGGACAACTTCCAGATGTCTGAAGCTGCTCTCTCTCTCCTTTTTTTTTTTTTTGGTACCTGGTATCCAACTCACGACCTCACACTTGCCAGGCAGGTGCTTGTGCTGCTGAGCTAAATCCCCAGCCCTACTTTTTCTTGATGTTCACCAAAAAAATCCAAAATCTATATACCCTTTTCACGTATAAAGGCAAATGAAAGATTTTCAGTTATGCAAAAGTTCAGGAACTATATCTCCTATTTTTTCTTTAAAAAATCATTTGGCGGGGCTGGGGATTTAGCTCAGCGGCATAAGCACCTGCCTTTGAAAGCAGGCAGTCGTGAGTTCGATCCCTGGTACCGATAAAAACGAAAAAAAGCCAAAAAAAAAAAAAGCATTTGGCTAGAGGCAGTGACAATTGCCTATATCCCAGCCTGCAGAAAACTGAAGCAGGAGGGTCTCAAGTTCAAAGCCTGCCTGTGCTACGCAGTGTAGCCCTATCTCAAACAAAACACACTCCTGTCAACATGTAAGACAGTGTTCTAAAACGTTAAACAGGTGGTAGAGGGGCTGGGGATTTAGCTCAGCGGCATAAGCACCTCCTTGTAAGCAGGCAGGCAGTTGTGAGTTCGATCCCAGGTACCGATAAAAAGGAAAAAGACCAAAAAAAAAAAGAAAAAAAACAGGTGGTAGAATCATTCAAAAAGAAAAGGAAGCCTCACTATTGTAGCAAATGTTATTTTAAAACAGAAAGTAACAGTTAGGCATGGTGGCACACGCCCATAATCCCAGCCCCTGGAAGGCTGAGGCAGGAGAATCACAATTCTGAGCCTCATATAGGCAACTCAGGGAGATCCTATCTCAAAGCTAAAAAATGAAAAAAGGCCAGGGATGCTGCTCAGTGCGAAGTCCCTAGGTTTAATCTCAGGTACCACAGAAACAAACAAACAATAAAAATCTCAAAAAGAAGTCTAAAATTCTTTCTTTATTTATTTATTTTTGGAGACAGGGTCTCTCTATGCAGTTCAGGCTGACTTTGAGCTCACTTTGTAGCCCAGGCTGGTCTCGAACTCGCAACAATCCTCCTGCCTCAGCCTCCCGAGTGCTGTGGAGTGCTGGGATTACAAGCTTGAGCTACCATGTCTGGCTTAAAATTGTTTTGTTTTTTGAGATGGGCTTGTTCTATTGTCCAGGCTGGCCTCAAACTCCTTAAACTGCAACAATCCTGCCTTAGTCTCCTGAGCAGCTGTGATTACCAGACTACCTCACCACACATCGTTAACATAAAATTCTTGGAAGAGAAGATACACCAACCGAAACAAAGCAGTACTAAACCAGACCTGAAATTTCTGTTTATGCAAACACACAATCCCGGGATATGGGCAGAAACTTAAAGGTAGCATCAGTTATTCATTATTCACACTGAAATTTATGAAAATAGATTTAACAGCAGGAGATTTAGCTCAGCGGCATAAGCACCTGCCTGGTAAGTGCAAGGTCATGAGTTCAATCCTCGGTGCCAAAAAAAAGAAAAAGAAAGAAAAAAGAAATAGATCTAACATATGAATAGTCATTACCATATCCAAAACAACTTAAACACACATAAATTGACAAGAATTTTTAAAAAGCACTAATAGTGTACAAGATAGACAAAGGACATGTCAAAGAAATGCTACTAACAGTTAATGATGCAGTAGAAAAGCCACAACTGTCAAAGATGAGGAGGAGACTTTTCACACGCAGCTATAACAGCAATTGGGCATATTCAATCTGGTAACCCGAACGTGTGTTACACACCTGCACAGTTACTGCCCACCCGCACCCTTATTCCGTCTGTCCTGTGAAGACAATGGCTAACATAAACTAAAACCCTAAATTCGCAAACAGTACCACGGCCAAAGGCACCTCACCTCCGACAGTCCTGCCAATGTGCGGGCGGGCGGAGAGCAGCACCCACCTCAAACTGTGTCACAGCAGCGTAACGCACCTCTCCAGAAGGGGTGGTGTATTTACTTCTATAGAAACCTTTCATTTTGTCATTCAGCTCTCCAACAAAATCTATCTTTAACGTTCCTGTACCTGGGATTGGAGACAAATTAAGACCTTTTTACTGTGATGTTAATAGTTATCAAACACAAGTCCTTAAGAAATTATTTACATTGGCCACACCCTCCCCCCTCACACCACCCTCTGGCACGCCCCAGAATCCTCTGTCTACTGCAGGACTGGGCCACCAGAGCCTAAAATAACTTCACATCATGTTTGGGAGGTTCTTTGATTTTATTAGTTTAGTCTCAGATTACCAGCACATGTATATAAAAAAGGAAAGGAAATATTAATGGCTGATACATGCCATTTGAGCATGGAGTTTTAAAAATATTTATGACTATTGATAATTTCCCCATTTTCCCTAGATGAGAAAGTAGGCTGTAAGGGTAAGTAGCCTGCCAAAGGTAGAAAGTTTTAACCCAAATGCACGCGTTCTCTGCCAACTGCTAGTGGCCTGCTTTTTAAGGAATGTCATGATCCTTAAAGACAAACGCCTCCAGGCGAGGCAGATGGAGCAGGGGGCTGCAGGCTTTTGTAAGGGACTGACTAGCACGGAAGTCGCAGATTGCAATAGAAGGGCCCAAAGCAAAACTCTTGGGCCTCTCAACTGTGTGAGCACTGATAATAGAGAAATATGTCAATGAATTATTAACTGCAAACAAATGCAACTCAAACATATATTCTAATATTGTACAATACCAAAACCAGTTTAGACAAAAACGTGAGTTCCCATGTACCTACCTATGCTTTGAATTGTTTTTGCAGTAGTAGGGATCAAACCCCAGGGCTCTCTACTACTGAGCTACACCCCACCCTTTTTACTTTTTACTGTGAGACAAGGTCTCACCAAGTTATCCAGGTAAGACTCTAACTTGTGATCCAGCTGCCTCTGTCTCCCTCAGTGCCGAGATCTGACGCATGCACCACTGTACCCAGCCACATGTACAATTGGAAAAACAGAAAAAGGTAACATTGTCTAGTAGTCATCTGTAAATTCAGATGCATGGCAAAACTGTAATGCCATTCTGCATACTGCATCAAGTCCCAAAAAAACTCAGAAAAATGTTGACCTCATAATTCATTCTTTCAGAATGCCTGTTTATATAATAAGACCTAGCACATAGGAGTCTAACAAGTAAAAGATACGTTATGATTATAAATTAATTAGCTAGTTATATCAAAATTTTGTATTCTAATGTCCCAAGTTCTCATTCTGGAATGCTGTAGAAAAATGACATTTTATACTTTTTTTTTTTTTTTATAGGTACCGAGGAAAACAATGACATTTTAAATTGGCCGAAATGTTCTTGGTTTTCCCTCTTATTTTCTGATAACTATAAAGTCCAATATTCACTCTCTACAGCTGAAATTGCTTTCTAGAAAAGTGCAATATCAAAGGAGTGCAAGCCTACAGAGTAAATGCAGGGCAAAATGTGAACTTTTCCTGCACAAAACCAAAGCATGTCTGGAAGGACCTAACCTGACATTTTGGGGGGTCTTTTTGAGACAGTCAAGGTTGGCCTTGAATTCACTTTGAAGCCCAGGCTGACCTCCAATTTGCATTGATCCCCCTGCCTCAGCCTTCTGAGTGCAGGGATGACAGACATGAGCCACCTGACTTTCTTTTCTTTTCTTTCTTTTTTTTTTTTTTTTTGTCTTTTTCCTTTTTATCGGTACTGGGGATTGAACTCACGACTGCCTGCTTGCAAGGCAGGTGCTTATGCCACTGAGCTAAATCCCCGGCCCCCAACCTGACTTTCTTATATGCCCCCAACTGGTTCTCAGTCATTTCTGTGAAAATTTCAGGCCTTTGCAGCAAAATCACCCCTAAAGAAACTGTCCCATTCCTGCAGTGGTCACTCTGAAAACAAGGATGACTGAAGTGAAGCTCCAGGAACAGACAGCTGTGATATGCTCTCCCTCTCAGGGTTTTATTTTATTTTATTTTATTTTATTTTTGAGACAGGGTCCTGGTACGTGGTTCAGGCGGCCTCCAACTCTCAGCAATCCTCCCGCCCTTGCCTCCCACGTGCTGGGATTACAGAAATGCGCCACCATGCCAGGCCCTATGATGCTCACGTTAAAAACAAAAGGAGAGAGAGAGAGATTTCTGAATATCTGAATGGACAATTTTTTTTTTCTTTTTTTGGTGCTGGGGATGAATTCAGAGCATACATTCTAAATAGGCCCTCTACGTACCACTGACCTACATGCCAGCACCAATGAATTTTTTTAAGACAGTGTAGCCCAGGTTGACCTGAAACTCACAGGGATCCTCCTGCCTCAGTCTCCCAATTGCTAGGATTACAGGCGTGCACAATCATGCTCAGCTACCAATGAATACTTTGTACTTTAAAAAGAATGACAGATTACTGGAACTGTAAACATTAATACAGAATCTATAATAATTCTAAGCCATTAATGTTAAATGACCAACATATGATACAGAATTTTAAGTAAAAATTTTAAAGATTTTTTTAAAGATTTTTATTTCCTCTTTATTTAGGAACTCACTACATTTTTAAAAACCATATGTATCCATATTAATGAAATCTGCAAGGACCATCTAATAGATTCCAAAACCCCATTACCTTTCATTGGAATTGTTTGATGGGATTTTAGGGGATACTCCCATAAACAGAATGGCCAGTATGATATTTTCGCTGAGTCAACTGTTAAGATTTTTAAAATGTAACTCATTGCATAGTAAATCCTCCAACTTTTCCTATTTGGAACAAAGTGGATTTAAAACTCATAACTAAATAAGAAAGGCTGCTTACACTTTTACTCGGTTTTAAATCTCCAAGTCCATCAAACCATAACAAGATATTGACAGTGACCACTTCCAAAAAGTGGCATACTAAATAAAATACAAAGTATTGGAAAGGCTTATTACCTGAAATTCAAACAAAACACAAGTTAAAGTTTACAAAAATCATAAATAAATTTAGTGTCACATTATACAATACTATTATAGAGTATTAATGATTAACATAGTAGAATTTTAGGCTGAGCAGGAGAAAAAGGACTTTTTGACAAATTTCACTTACTGAATTTACAACAGATTTGTACCATAATGAGTTGACTGCCAGTTGGTCTAATTTTATACCTATTCACATACACAATTGATACTGGTTCTTCAAATTAGATATCTTATTTCAGTAATCAATGTATTTATCTGTTCAGGTGGTAAAGCTTTTGTAACATGATGAGCTCATTTATAAATCAGACAACCAAAGAAACAGGACATCCACCGAAAGCTTTCTATGTTTAAAGCTCAGGAGAGTATAACAATCATTGTAAAATCAGAAGATCTTGAATATTCTAACAAAAAAAAATCTAATTAGCCTACAAAAGGCTATAAAGGGCAAATTAAATTACATAAAAAGTGAATTAAAGTCTTTGCCTTTATATCACCATTTCTTATTATCCCATTTTTTGCTTTAAAATGTGAAGAATGTCTCGTGTTTCTCCACATGAATGCCACTCTATGGACCCTTAACCACCAATTCTGAGGTTGACAGATCTCACAGTGCAACAACAACTCTCCCACCACTCTAGCACGGTGGCAACTTCAGAGAAGAATGCTTTATTTAGCTACACATAAGTTAAATCCGATGGAGCTAAACACAAAAATTCTTAGTGTTACCACACATGCAATAACTCTTCCTGCAATGTGCTAAAATTTGACTTTTTTTTTTTTTCACAGTACTAGGGTTGAAACCGGGGCCCTTTATTTATTTACTTATTTTACTTAGATACAGGGTCTCACAAAATAGCCAAGACTGGTCTCAAACTTGCAATTCTCCTGTCTTAGCTTCCCAGAGGCCTGGGATTACAAGTAGACACCACCATGCCCATCTGGAACTTCGTATTTTTAAGATTTAGTCTTCCCTTTTCAACTGACACATGATTGTACATATTTGTGAGATAAAAATTTCATTTTTAAAGCAAAAAATGGTTAACTCTGACCCTGAGAACTTGGTAAGATGCAGAGACAAATGAATTTTAAACAGACTTACTATAATCAATACAGTCGCGCCTGCAGCATTCTCTTGGCTTAACGCCGCCATCAGGGACCTAAGTGTGGTATTAGCTGCAAGATGTTAACTAACAATTTCTAAAACTACGAGCCACAGTGCATTAGCAGCTGCAACCTTTCCTGACGCGGTGCTGCTCTTGCTCCAAACGCCTCCACCATTAAGCAAGTCTGTGAGCTTTTTAATGGCTCAGGGCTGGGTATAGGGCTAGCAGGCACAAGACCCTGGCTTCAACCCTCAGAACAGCAGAAGGAGCAAAAAGAGAGAAAAGAATGATGCAGCTGTCATTAAACAGTGATGAAAAGTGACTTCAGGTAAGTATATTACACACAAATATGTTACACACTTAAGAGGAAAAGAAAGGTACAAGTATTATGCATGACATGGTAACATTTACATTTTAAAAGTATATATATAAACATGAAAATGATACCTTGTTTTGTTTTGTTTTGTTTTGTTTTGTTTTGTTTTGAGACAGGGTCTCACTATGTAGCCCAGGCTGGCCTCAAACTCGCAGCAATTCCTCCTGCCTCAGCCTCCCCAGTGCTGAGGTTACAGGCGTGTGCCACCATGCCTGGCTAATGATACTGGGTTTTTGAGGTTTCCTAAGAAACTGCTCTTGAGGAATAGAATTGAGAGACAAAGAAAGGATAGAATGGCAAACACATTTTTGCAATACATTTCAGTTTCAAACTAAATATCTGTATGATGATGTTTTAAAATATTTAATTTTAAAAATAAAAAGCAAGGGCTGGAGATTTAGCTTAGCGGTATAAGCACCTGCCTGACAAGCAAATGATTGTGAATTTGATCCCTGGTACCAAAAATAAATAAGTACATTAAATAAATAAAAACAAAAAAGTATAATGTGGTTAGACCTTTCAGTTAAACTGCTTAGCTTTAAATCCTACCACATACTAGTTGTGACTCTGTACAAATTATTTAATTAAATATTTGTGCCTTTGATTCTTTAGCTATAAAGCAGATGACAGACTCAAAATGTTGTTGAAAGAATTAAATAAATCACTAGTACTGATTTTTTTTTTTAAAGGTGGGGACTCATTCTGTTACTCTAGCTACCACCAAACTCAAAACCCAGTGTGGGCCAGGTGTGGCGGTAAACACCTGCAATCCCAGCACTCAGAAGCTGAAGCAGGAGGATCACTTTGAGTTCAAGGCAGCCTGGACTACATAGTGAGTTTAAGGCAAGTCTAAATTACAGAATTAGATCCTGTGTAAACAAAAAAGAAAAAAAAGATACCCTCCAGCCTCAGCTTTAGACCTTTGCCGCTTTGCCAAGAGGAGGCTGGTTGGCTGGCTGGCTGGCTGGCTGGCTGGCTTACTTGCTCAGAGACAAGGTCTCACTATGTAACACAGAGTGACCTTAAACATATGGCCATCCTCTTGCCTCAGCCTCTGGAGTGCTGGGATTACAAGTATGGATCACCACGTCTGGTGACTAGAGAAGCTTTTCATGATTTTATTTTCTGATCATGCTGGGGACTGAACTCAGGACCTCATGCATGCTAAGGTAAGCACTCTACCATTGAACTATACCCTCAGTCACAAGTGATGTTTTTGATGTACTCTACGTGACACAAATTAAGCACTCAGTATACATGTGGATATAAAATGCAAATCTTCTATCATGTTATGAGTCTATTTTTGCCTAATGAATTTCAGCAAACACATTCTGTTTTCTTTTGATATCTTTAATATTTTTATTTAATAAATAATGTACCAGGGAGCTGGGGATTTAGCTCAGCAGTATAAGCATCTGCCTTGCAAGCATGCAGTCGTGAGTTCGATCCCTGATACCGATGATAAAATAAATAAATTAATAAATTAATGTACCAGGCCTGGGACTCAGCTCAGGGGTGTAAGCATCTGCCTGGCAAGCACAAGGTCCTGAGTTTGTCCCAGTACCAAAAAAACAAAAACAAAAGAAACCTACAAAACAAAATACAGAAGCTAGACATGATAGTACATGCCTGTAACCCCAGCATTTGGGAAGCTGAGGTAGGAGGATTACAAGTTCAAGGCCAGTCTGCATTACACAGTGAGGCACTGACTCAAAAAAAAAAAAAGCCCAACTCATAGGCTACCACTAATTTGTATACACTTATACAAGCCGCCAGGCCTGCCCAGCATACCTTACCTCCCCACACGCTACCCCTAGAAGCAAACAATTTTAACTTGGATTTCTAAATATTTCTAGCCATTTAGTTATCAGTTTCAGACATTATTCTCCTTATCAGAGAAAGTAATGTTTTAGCTAATCCTTCTCTCACTCCCATATCTTTCACAATTAAGACTCCCTACCACCTTGCAAATCTAAAACTTCAGTTATTTTGCTCATATATAGCCATAGCTTGGCTAAACACAGAATTATAGGCTGGAAATCAGATTTATTTAGTATACTGAAGCAACAGCTTCATTAAAGCCTAGTTTTCCTTGTTCTCAACAGAGACCAGTGCTATCCTGATTCTTGAACTTTGAAGGTAGTATGTCAGCCTTCTTTTCTGCTCCACCCCAAAAAGAAACTCTCAAAAGCCTTGATTTATTCCAAAAGTACTAACAGTTCCTCCGGTGCGGTACTTTTTTTTTTTTTTTTTTAACTTTTTGGTTGTTGTTGTGGTTGTTTGTCTCAAGGTAGGGTCTCACTATGTAGCCCAAGCTGGCCTCCAATTTACTGTGTGACCCTCCTGCCTCGGCCTCCCAGGTGCCGGGATTGCAGGTGTGCGCCACCACGCTGGCTGTGTTTTACATTTCTTAGGTGCACTTGCACCTCTGCAAAGTGAAGGCTCCTGCCTCACCAGTTCACAGAAATTTCTTGTTTTATCTTTAATGCATTTCTGTTCCTCTTTGCTGTCCCTTCTGTCACAAAGTGATTTGTTGCTGCTGTCAGGTTTTTTGGAGGCAGGCTCACCAAGTTGCCCAGGCTGGTCTCAAACTTGCAGTTTTTTCCCTCGGCCTCTTGAAATGCTGGGACTGCAGTTGAGCACTGTTTTTCTGTTTCCATGTCTTTGTTTTCCTACTTGTTTAAAGGATTCTTCAATTTCATTTCCAAACTCCTACTTTTAAAAAATATTTATCATATAATTTCTAGAAGTTTTCTTAATCTGATTCTTCCTGTTTGATAGCCTTCTGTCTGTACTTTATTTTTAAAAGTGTTTTCTCTTAACTCTGAGGATATTAATTAGTTTGGTTTTTCTTTAACCTTTTTTGTCTTTGTTTCTTCCAACTCCTTACCTCTTTATTACAGCTACTGCTTTGCTTTTTGCCCTAGTTTTCACAGCAAAAGCTTTCCTCAGACATCTATTAATTGCTTCCTCGGTGACTTTGTGCTTGCTGTGGACAACAAATATACCTGTCCATGGGGAGCTGTACTGCGCCTTGGGGGATGGCTCTCTCCCAGCAAGTGAGGACCGCACAGCTCAGGTGGAGACTAGGGATTAGTGACAGCTGCAGAGCCCCAGCAGACTACACAAAACCGTGTGCAAGGGAAGAGTTAAGCACGCCACTGACATCTGCAGCGCTGTTTGAGGGTTAAAATGCACAGGCACAGCCTTCATGCGCACACAGAACACTGCTGGGAGAGGCCAAGAGACAGTGAGAGTGGACAAGGCCAGGAGACGGATCTCAAGTTCAGTATCACTGCGTGCTCCGCAGTGTCTTTTAATGCACGTCATGCCAAAATGTTTATTTTTTATAACAACCACATATATAAAGACCTGCAACAGTACTGAAATAAAAGATAAGACTATTCAAATTTAAATTTTTTCTGAAAGTATTTTATATGGAACTAATAATGGTCTAAAATTTTTATGAACTAGGTAACAGGTACAAATAAGAATAAAAATCAAAGCTGGTATGGTAGCTCATGTCTGTAATCCCAGCACTCAAGAGGCTGAGGCAAGACGATTGCTATGACTTTAAGGCCAGCCTGGGCTACAAAACAAGTTCAAGGCAGCCTGAACTGCATAGCGAAACCCTGTCTCAAAAGACAAAATAATAGGGGCTGGCGATTTAGCTCAGCGGCATTAAGTACCTGCCTTGCAAGCAGGAGGTCATGAGTTCGATCCCCAGTACCGATTTAAAAAAAAAAAAAAGGACAAAATAAATAAGTAAATTTTAAATTAGTAATTATGTCAACAAACATAACCCAGACATCATTTTATTTATACCATTTTGATCTGAATATGTAATTTTATAATCTGATTTTCAATTTTATTTCATATTGAGCACTTTATAGTGTTAAGAATTCATAAACCTTTACCATTAAATATGTTTTATTGATATATGTCATAAATAATTTAATCATTCCTTCAGTGTTGGACAGACATATTCTAATTTTTTGTTACCATATAAATTATCTCGATGAGGCATTTCTAGGAATAAAGTGTGTTCTATGCTTTTTTAGAAATCCTTTTAACTTCAGCTTATGTGACAAGCAGAAACTTGCTTAGTAGTGACTGAGTGACTTGTCCTCATCTAGAGCAGCACAGAACTTTAAGGAAAGGAGGCAAGTAGGTAAAAAGAGTCTAACAAGCGGGAGGGCTTCGAAGGTAGTAGCTGCTGTCTTGCTGTTTTTCATTACTAGGAGGCTAAATTTTCCAGGAATCAAACTCACGACCTCGCACTTGCCAGGTAGACGCTTATGCTGCTGAGCTAATCCTCCGGCCCAAGGCTGAATTTTTTATATGCTTAATACTGATTTGTATAGTCTTCTTTATGAATAATCTATTCCTTCTTATTTATTCATCTATCAAATTCTCACTGCTTTACCAATTGATGTGCATATAATTTCTTCCTTTGTATTAAGCTCTGTATCTAATTTTATATAATTACATAATTGTGTTTTATTTTTATTATATATTTATTATATTTTATTTTAGTTATATAATTTTATCATATCTAATAATATGCTTTTAATATAATTTTATTATATCTAATATTGATAACATGTCAAGAAATCTTTCCTTCCGAGCTCTCACTGACACACTGCTCGTCTAATCTCTGGTTATGTATCAAAACTGGGTGAAACCTTCACCTCAGATAATGAAGCTCAAATAGCAGAAGATGGAGCTAGTGTTTTTAAAAAGCTGAAACAGAAACAATGCATTAAATTCTACACTACAATGATCCTGTTTTCCTAGTTGGTGTGTTTCTTTGTTTGCCTGAGAATAGAAAGTAACAGGAAGTAAAATCTTGCTTTGCATAATTTAGGATTCTTAGGGAAACATCTTCTAATGCCCCAAATGTTGCAATGAACTCTTTTATTTAAAAGCAAAACAAAACAAAACAAAACAAAAAAATCTATCTCTTAACACTTAACCTGCTAACAACAGTAGGAGCAAAAAGACGTACAATCAGCTTCCCCAGAAGAAGTAAGGTGCCGTTATTCACCAGGCCACATCTCTTACCTGTCTGGAGAGTACTAGGGAAAGACAAGGTGACCTTTTCATCTTCATTCTGATAGTTAAACCCTGTGGCTTGTATTTCTGGAAGAGAAAAAAAAAAATTGCTTCACAGATCCAATCCAACCGAAGAGCCAAAATGTAGACTGCAGCCATTAGCACTTCCGGAGTGAAGTCTCCAGCAGTACAGGACACTCACCTAATAAATCAGTATTCATCAATGAATATTCATCTCAGAATCCTATTAACAGAAGCATGGTTTTAAATGAAACTCTTTCAGGCACATGACCTAGTTAAATATGTTCCTTAAATAAATTAACCCCTTTCCTTTCCCCTTTCTCCCTTTTTTTTTTTTTTTTTTTTTTTTTTTTTTGCAGTAATAGGGACTGAACCAAGACCTCCGTACTAAGCTAAATCCCCAGTCTTTGCCTCAAACTCATAGTAAGCCTCCTGCCTCAGCCTCCTGAGTGCTGAGATGACAGGCCTGCAGCACCATGCCCAGGTCTGGTACTTTCTATGCTGCAGTCTCCCTTACTCATGAACATTTCATTTCATTTCATTTCATTTCGTAAGCTGCCAGGATTTTGGTGTTAACCGTTTTGATGTTGATGAAAGTTCCATTCCCTCAGCACAGATGGTAATTCAAACTGAGACACCGGCCATATTCAAGTACAACTCTTTTGTTTCTGCATTTTACACAAACAAGATGAAAACCAGTGGCCAAGCCTGCTATCCCAACACGTGGGAGGCTGAGGCAGGAAGATCACCGTCAGTTTGAGTCCAGCCTGGGTTACATAAGCAAGTTCAAGTTTAAGGCCAGTCAGGACTACATAATGAGACCCCCTTCTCCCAAAAAAATGTGTGGATCAAATTAAGGCATCAATGAACTGAACTCTCTCCCAGGAGTATGAAGAAACTGCCCCTCAATCTCTGGTCAAGACAGGGTCTTACTATGTAGCCCAAACTGGCCTTGAACTTGCAGTGATCTTCCTGTCTCAGCCTTCTGAGTACTGGGATCACAGGCATGCGCCTGGTGAAGCATGAGACTGCTTATCTAACTGCTGCTTTAGCATGCTTAGCTGACACATTAAGGAAAAGCCATGAAGACAAGTTTCCAACCACATACTTCCCTCTCCATCCCAATGACAAGCAGGCCAAAGAGGGGTCTGAACGAGCATGTGGAAGACATTCAGCATCAATGACCACCAGGCAAAGAACCCACTCCCCACTGCTCCCCACTCCCCACCACAGCCACAGTGGCAGGCACAGCTGTGACAGAGGGTGCTCTTCAGAAGGCTAAGCAGAGTTATCATGTGACTCAGTAACTCCTCGCCCTAAAGAAAGACCAACTGTGGCTGGAGATTTAGCTCGGCCGCATAAGCGCCTGCCTGGCAAGTGTAAGGTGGTGAGTTCAATCCTCGGTACTGCAAAAAAAAAAAAAAAAAAGAAAAGAAAAGAAAGAAAGAAAGGCCAACTGCTGTACATACGTGTTCGTGGCAGCATTACATACAGTGGTTCCAAGCTGGGCTTTTGATACCCAAATGCCCACCAGCTGGTGAATGGATAAAATGTGGGGGTCCACACAATTGAGTATTTAACAAGAAATGAAACACTGATATGAACTACAGCATGAATCATTTTGAAACTACTGTACCAACTTAAGCCAGATACAGAAGGCTGTACATTCACACAAATGTCTGAACAGGTAGATCAAGAGATAGGGAGCAGGTCAGTGGTTACCTAGGGATGAATGGTCCCCAGACAGTGATGGCTAACGGGTACTTTCTTTATGGAGTAATGAGAATGTTCTAAAAGATGCTGGTTCTGCAGATGGCTCCACAGTTCTGTGAATATACCACTCACTGAACTATCTGCTATAAACAGATGAATTGGGGAATATGTGGATTATATCTCAATAAATTTCAAATGCTTATAGCTTCATTATAGTTCACATGTGTTTCTATAAAGCCAAAATCTGTTGGTTTTTGTTGTTGTTTTGGTTTTTCTTTTTTTCTTTTTTTGAGACAGGGTCTTACTATGCAGTTCAGGTTGGCCTTGAACTCACTACATAACCCAGACTGGCCTCAAACTCAAGGTGCTCCTCCTGCCTCAGCCTCCCAAGTGTTGGGATGATAAGCATGCACCTCCACGCCTGGGTTGGAATTATACTCTTCCTTAGCTCATCTCTTCATCTGTAGAATAGTTACAGACTTCATATCAGGTAGTGGTGGCCTCTATCATGTAAACTGTCCTTCCCCTCACCTGACTTCAGAATGAAATCAGAGAGGGAGAGGGATGTCTCTTTAACACAGTATGGAAGGGTGAAAGATGAAGGAAGTTGGGAGGAAGAAGGGGACAGGTCCCAGAAAGAGGAAGCTCTGCACTCTGGGCCACTCCTGCTCTGGGATCATTGCTGAGCTGGCACAGATGCTTCAGAGGCTGAGAGACAAAAGTTGGAAACCACGACAAGCGTGATGATACATGCACTCAGGAGGCTGAGGCAGGAGGATCACTGTTGTGAGTTTAAGGCCACCCTGGGATACATGGTGAGACCCTGTCTCGAAAAAAAAAAAAAAAAAAGGTGGAATCCAGGGCCCACTAAGACTGAGGACATTGAAAACTGGCCCTCTGCTTTAGGTTCAGAACCTGGGAAGTGACTGCGTAACAAGTGATACACGAGACTTCAGAAACCCTAATACTGAGACAATAGAAAAAGGTTTCCCCAAGTAGCAGGGACTCTAAAATGAAACAAAAACTCCTCTCCAGTTGAAGACAATGCCGTCTGATGCTGCCCACATAACTCTCCTAATTCACTACCTAGTGTCCAATCAAACAAACTCTATCAGAGGAACAAGACCACCTGAATAAAAACCAGTGAGCCCACAAAATAAAACAGGACTCTTTAAACTGCAGCTCCATGTTAAACACCACACACCTCCTGCCCATACAAAGCAAGATAAAGTACTGTATTAACAGCTGCGCACAGTGGAGCGCCCCTTGGGGGCTGAGGTGGGAGGCTCACTGTCACACAGTGAGCTCAAAACCAGCCTGAGAAGCACAGCTGCTGTTGCCGCAACAGCAGCAGCACAAACTGTTAGTCAACTCCTCCTTACAGAGACCAGATAGCAGGCTCCAGGAGGGAAGACCCCTTTTTGCTCACTGCATCAGGGCTTCCCGCCTCTGATCATCTGGCTCCAGGTGGAAGCATGTGGGCAGGAGGGCATCATGGGCTCAGCTACTTGCTTCATGGCGGCCCAGGACCAGGGCAGCAGAACAGTCCCAAAGAGGACGGGTCCAGAGACCAGGTAGAGACCCCAAGGTTACAGCTCCAGGACGCCCTAGACACCCCCACAAGTGTGCTTCACCAAACCCAAGGCAGCTCTCCAGCCATCCAAGCTGATGACACCAAGGAAATGTCACAGTAAATGGTGCTTGGAAAACTGGGTATACATACAAAAGAATGAAGCTGGGATCTTTACTTTACATCCATATATAAAAATGAACTCAAAGTGAAGTCCAGCTGGGGACTGCAGCACAAGCCTGTAATTCTAGCCACTTGGGAGGCTGACAGGAAGATGACAAGTCCAAGGCCAGTCTGGACAACTCAGCAAGACCTTGACTCAAAAAATGGTTAGGGCTATAGCTTAGCATAGAAGAACCTGGGCTCAAGCCCTAGCACCAGGAAAAAAACAATAAAAATGAGCCAAAGGGCTGGGGGTTTAGCTCTGTGACATAAGTGCCTGCCTGGCAAGTGAGAGGTCACTGTGAATTCAAGGTCAGTCTGGGCTATACAGGGAGACCATGTCCCAAAAAAATAAAAAGAGGAAGTGGAAAAGGACAGAAAAAGAATCCTTCAGGACATTGGATTTGCTATGATTTTTTTCTTTTTAGAACAGGCTTTCATTCTGTAGTTCCAGCTGACTTTGGATCCTCTATGTAGCCTAGGCTGGCTTCAAACTCGAAGTGATTGTCCTGCCTCAGCCTCCACAGTATGATTTCTTCATAGGATATGAAAAGCAGAGACAACAAAAGAAAAAAGAAAGAAAGAAATCAGAGTACATTAAACTTAAAAATTTCATGGTGACACACAATTGTAATCTCAGCACTCAGGAGGCTGAGGGAGAACTCTCCCTGGGAGTTCAGGGTCAGCCTAGGCTACAAAGCGAGTTCAGGGCCAGCCTGAACTACACAGTAAAACCCTGTTTCAAAAAGAATGGGGTGGAGCCGGGCGTGGTGGCTCACGGCCTGTAATACCATCACTGGAGAGGCTGAGGTGGGAGACCAGCCTGGGCTACAAAGTGAGCTAAAGGCCAACCTGAATTGCATAGCATCATGTATCAAGAGAGTAAAAGAGTATGCAAACTTCTACAATTTCAGTAAGAAAGTAACAACCTCATTTAAAAATGAGCAAGCACTTAAATAGACATTTCTCCAAAGATTTACAAATGACCAAAAAGCACACAAAAAGGATGTTCAAGCCAGGCATGGTGGTACATGCCTGTAATCCCAGCACTTGGGAGGCTGAGGCAGGAGGGTCATGAGTTTGAGGCCAGCCTGAGCTACAGTGAGACTATGACTCAAAATGAAAAGCAAAGCAAAGCTCCATGTATCAAATAATTACAAAAATAGTAATCAAAACCACATTGATAAATTGATAAAACACACACACACACACACACTGATTGACACCCATTAGATTGGCCAAATAGGAAAGAGAAAGAGAGAAAAGGAAAGAGACAGAATAAATGAATGAGGGAGGGAATGGGGAAAACGGAACCCTCGTTGTACAGTCAGTGAGAATCTAAAATGACACAGCCACTAGAGAAACTCTTATGGTGACCTGTAAAACTCAAGAAAAATTATTGTAAGATCCACAAATGCCACACGTGTGCCCAGAAGAGCTAAAAGCAGGGTCTTGAAGAGCTATTCACGGACCCACATTTATAGCCATATGGTTCATCACAGTCAAGAGCTGGAGATGAGATGCATGCCTGTAACCCCAGCACTCTGGGAGACCAAAGCAGGAGGAGCACAAGTCTGAGTCCAGCCCACACAACTCAGCCAGACAAGGTCTCAAAATAAGT